TTCCTCAATCAAACATTAACCCAGAACGAATCCAGAGCCCCTCATTTTCTGTGGAAATAAAAGCAGAACCTCTTTCCCAAAGCAACATATCTTTTGACTTAAATTTTGAAGTCAAGATATTTTTTAAAAATATAGGTTGGTTTAATCTAGCAACTTTCATAATCAAATGTCTCTTAGCAGTTATCATTTGTTCTTTAGTAGTCAAGAAATTTAAAGACGTACAGTATCTAGAGTGTATATTTTCCATCTTTACATGGTTTATTATATTTCTTATTATTCTATTTCTTTTTTTTCTTTTTTCTTTTTTTTTTTGGTTTTTTGAGACAGGATTTCTCCATATAGTTTTGGTACCTGTCGTGGATCTTGCTCTGTAGACCAGGTTGGCCTCGAACTCACAGAGATCTGCCTGGCTCTGACTCCTGAGTGCTGGGATTAAAGACATGCACCACCACTGCCAGCTAAAACTATATACATTTTTTTGGTTTTGGTTTTTCAAAGCAGGGTTTCCCTGTGTAGCGTTGGAGCCTATCCTGGAACTCACTCTGTAGCTCAAGCTGGCCTCAAACTCACAGAGATCTGCCTGCCTCTGTCTCCTGAGTGCTGGGATTAAAGACATGCACCACCACTGCCCAACTATATATATATATATATATATATATATATATATATATATATATATATATATATATATATTAAAGATTTATTTATTTATTATGTATACAGAAGAGGGCGCCAGATCTCATTACAGATGGTTGTGAGCTGCCATGTGGTTGCTGGGAATTGAACTCAGGACCTCTGGAAGAGCAGTCGGTGCTCTTAACCTCTGAGCCATCTTTCCAGCCCCCAACTATATATATATATATTTTTTTAAGATTTTCTTAGCCGGGCGGTGGTGGCGCACGCCTTTAATCCCAGCACTCGGAAGGCAGAGCCAGGCGGATCTCTGTGAGTTCGAGGCCAGCCTGGACTACCAAGTGAGTTCCAGGAAAGGCGCAAAGCTACACAGAGAAACCCTGTCTCGAAAAACCAAAAAAAAAAAAAAAAAAAAAAAAAGATTTTCTTTATTTATTATGTATACAGAAGAGGGCGCCAGATCTCATTACAGATGGTTGTGAGCCACCATGTGGTTGCTGGGAATTTAACTCAGGACCTCTGGAAGAGCGGTCGGTGCTCTTAACCTCTAAGCCATCTCTCCAGCCCCCCCAACTATATTTTTTAATATAAGACTGTAAATATTCTTTTTTTGTTTGTTTTGTCAAATGCAAATGGACTAGACATTGTTAATGTAATTCTTGCCTGCATATGTTTGTATATAGTTATTGTACTTATTGTATATAGTTTTTTATGTTAGTTAAAACTTTCACTTTTTATTTAGACAAAAAGGGGGAAATATTGTGTGATATTTTGATTGTGTTCGGACAAATAAAGCTTGCTTGAAGTCAGAGGGCAGAAACTAAATAGGGTCTCTTGAAATGTTATGTGGATTTAGAATTTGTTTTAAATGTTTATTTTATGTATATATGTGTTTTGCCTGCATGTTTGTGCACCATGTGCATGACTGGCACCTGTGGGGGCTGGAAGAGGGCATCAGATGCCTTGGGACTAGAGGTACAGTTGGTTGTGATCCACCACGTGGGTTCAGGGAACCCAAGTGTCCTCGTCAAGAGCAGCCAGTGCTCTTAACCACTGAGCCATCTCTCCAGTCCCAAATTTTAAGATGGAATTATACATTTCTGAAAACTTGAGCTTTTTGGTGTTTGTTTTTGTTGTTAAAACAGAGTCTCATGTTTCCTAGGTGGGTCTTGAACTCTTGATCCTACCTGCCTCTGCCCCTCCAGTGCACCACCATGCCCAGTTTGCTTTTGGGGTTTTGACAATGCTTTGACAGCGATATTACTCACCTATGCAATTTTAAGGAGGGCCTGGACTAGCTAAAGTACTCCAAGGTACTGAGTGAAACATGAGAGAAATGAGGATGAATTGTGGTCTGAGCAGATGCGGAAGGTTCAGCCTTGGCACATCAAGGTGTGATAGCAGAGGACTGTCCTTTAGGATACCCAAACCTCTGGGGTTTGCAAGACTTCCTCCATCAGAAAGGGGCTTAGGGGTGGGAGATGGCCAGCAGATTGTCATCAGTATAATGAACACTGTGTGCTTACCACTTTTCTCCCTTTATCCATTTCTGCAGCTCTTTGTATCTCTTGTTGGTCTGCTGGAACGAGAGCTTCCTGTCTAGGCTCTCAAGAGCACTTTCCTCAGAACTGTGAGCGAATACCTGACAGGAGCAGCTCCAAGGGAGGCTTAATTTGCATTCATGGTTTTAGAGGGCATAGTCCACTATGGCAGGGAAGGCATGGTAGAGTTCTTGACAGCAAGAGTGTGTGACTTAGATCTCTCACATGTTGATGGATCAGGAATCAGAATATTTGAGCTGGGGATAGGTTGGGTCACATCTTAGCTAGGGTTTCTATTGTTGTGAAGAGACACCATGTCTACAGCAACTCTTACAAAGGAAAACATTTAATTGGGGCTTGCTTACAGTTCAGTAGTTCAGTCAATTATCATCCGGGCAGGACATAGCAGCATGCAGGCAGACATGGTGCTGGAGAAGGAGCTGAGAGTTCTACATCTTGCAGGCAACAGGAAGTAAACTGAGACACTGGGTGTGGCTTGAGCATATATGAGACCTCAAAGCTCACCCCCACAGTGGCACACTTCCTCCAACAAGGTCACATCCACCCCAACAAAACCACACCTCCTAATAGTACTGCTCCCTTTAGGAGCCATGTCTTTTCAAACCACCACAGATCATAACCCTCAAAGTCTCACCCTTAGAGATCCACCTCCACCAACCAGACCTTCTTCTCCAGAAGTCTCATCACCTCCAAAGCCAGGACTACTAGCGGGACCAAGTGTTCAACTGTGTGAGCCTGTGGGCAACCCTTCACACTCAAATTACAACAGGGACCCTAGCAGTGTGTTTGAAGTGGATGGACATTCTGTGATACCTCTAACCTTTAGGCCATTCTTGTAGTCAGCCAGCTGCCTTGTATGGCTCCTCAAGATAATGGAGGAGACTGGTGTGTACCTTGATGAGAGAAAACTTGATCTACCTGTAAGAGGTCCTGGATTCCATCTCCAGCACAGGATGAAGACACACACACACACACACACACACACACACACACACACACACACAGAGAGAGAGAGAGAGAGAGAGAGAGAGAGAGAGAGAGAGAGAGAGAGAGAGAGAGAGCAGTATCAGCTCCTAACCCTGACAGAGTGAGCCAGGAAGAATCACTTGCTGAAGAATCAGACAAGTAATAGCATCATGGTGTGTGTGTGTGTGTGTGTGTGTGTGTGTGTGTGTGTGTGTGTGTGTGTGTGTGTGTGTTTTCATGCCAGGAATGCAACTGGACCTCACATTTGCTAGACATTTACTACCATGGAGCTCTACACCCCCAGCCCCTGGGGTGTCTTGTAGGATCTCATTAGGTGAGGTTTACCTGCGGTAGTGAAAGCAAAGGTTGCCACAGGTGGCCTTGTACACCCTATACTCTTGGGAGATGACTCACCAGGCCCTAAGCTAGACCTCTGGCTCAGCTTCAGAAAAGTTGCATCACAGCCACACACTTAAGAGGCGGAGGTCCGTGACCTACGCCATGAGACTGAGGGTGTAGCTCAGTTTCAGAGTACTTGCCCAGGATGTGTAAAGATCAGAGTTCTAGCTATTTTAGACACAGAAGTAGAGCCGCAAGCATTCTCCCCATTTCAGAATGAACCAATGGTGTTGTGGAATATTACTTTAGCTATGTAAAGATGTGTTATATTTGCTTATGTTATGAGATATTTGTTTAACTGGTCAGAGATGTGTTACATTTGTTTATGCTGCATTTGTTTAATGGTGTAAAGCTGTGTTGCTTTGCTTGCCTAAGGCACCTGATTGGTCTAATAAAAAGCTGAACAGTCAATAGCTAGGCAAGGAAAGGATAGGTGAGACTGGCAGGTAGAGAGAATAAATAGGAGGAGAGAATGAGAGAGAAGAGAGAACGAGAGAGAAAGAAAAGGAGATGCCCAGCGCTGGCCAGCCAGGCAGATACAGAGTAGGAAATACAGAATGAAAGAAAGGTAAAAAGCCCCAAAGCAAAATGTAGATGATTTAAGTTATAAGAGCTAATGAGACAAGCATAAAATAAGACTAAGCATTCATAATTAATAATAAGTCTCCATGTAATGATTTGGAAGCTGGTTGTAGCCCAAAAGAAAGCCTGCTACACAATGCAGATCTAGAAAATTCTCAGTTGGGGGGAAAAATGTGTCCAGTTGAGCTGTTTCCCTTTCGTCTTTCTTCTTCTTTTCTTCCTTTCTTTCCCCCCACTTTTTTTTAAAAAATTGAGGCAGAGTCTCTCTGTGTAGTGCTGGCTGGCCTGGAATTCACTATGTAGACTCACAGAGATCCATCTGCCTCTGCCTCTGCCTCTTCAGTGCTGAGATTAGAGTGCACACCACACCCAGCCTCCTTCTCCTCCTCTTCCTCTTTTTAACATATTTTAATTAATCCTTTGAGAATTTCACACAGTGTATTTTTATCATAGTTACCCTCCCTCCAGACCCACTCCCACTTCCCCATCCCATCCCCAACTCTGTATCCTCTATTTTCAATAATCCATTGAATCCCGTTGTACTGCCCATACCCTCCCCAGTGTGGGGTATCCACCGGAGTGTGCTGGACCTATTGGGGGCTACATCCTTAAAGAAAACGATCACTCCCTCCCTCAGAAGCCATCACCTGTTTCTCCATGGTTAGGGGTGGGGACTTATGATCCCCTTCTTCCCCGGCTTAACCTTGTACAGGTTTTACACAGTCACAACTTCTGTGAGTTTGTGAGTGCAGTGTCTTCTTTTTTTTTTTAATTTAATATTTCTTTAATTTTTCTTTCTTTCTTTCTTTCTTCTTCTTCTTCTTCTTCTTTTTTTTTTTTTTTTTACATTTTTGGATTCTTTTTTCGGGGGGTTGTATGTACACATGCACCACAGCAAACACGAGGAGGTCAGAGGACCACTTCTCAGTTCTCTCCTTCCATCCTGTGGATTCCAAGGATTGAATTCAGGTCTTCAGGCTTGGCAGCAAGTGCCTTTACCTGCTGAGCCAGCTTGTTGTTGGCCCAAGCCTTTTTATTTTCTCAAATGCAATCTGCCCTTTGGTTTACCTATTTACTCAGCTATTCAATGTCTTCACTAGGGACAGACCCCCCCCCCTTATCAGGTGCTGGGGATACAGAGGTGAGTAGGTTGCAGGCTGTTTGGGGAGGTAGCAAGCCAGTGGACCCCTGTGGTGAATGGGAGGAAGTAATAGAATGTGGGACTCTTGACTCATAGACTCTGACCTAGGAAGCCAGTGAGCTCTTTCTTGGAAAAGCACAAAAGGTAAGGATAAGCAGGTACCCTGTAGACAAAGAAGAGAAAGACAATGAGTCGAGAGTGTGAGCAAAGGTCTTGGGGCTGGAGGTAGAGGCCTGGAGAGGAAAGCCATGTCAAAGTCACTCAGGGCACTAGAGACTTGGAGACTTTTGGTTCCAGTGCATATACCTCACCATACTCACAGCCCAATGCCCCAATTTTCAGACAGCATCTGTTGGAGCCTGCCGACCAGTCAGCTGAGTAGTTGGGTAGAGGCATGTGGATTGTAGAGAAGACAGAAAAGAGTTGAGAGGTCTGCCAGTCAATGCTGGACACCCCGAGTTTATTTCATAGCCAGCTTATATACAGTTTTGAAGGACAGAGGTAGAACAATGCACAGCACAGGCATTCAACCACTATCTATCCTGCCTTGCATCAAGGAGCAGGCAGTTTCATTTTCTATCTTGATGTACCTCTGGTCGGCATCAGCAGCCTACATGTAGCTAGATAGTATGGTCCTTCCTGTGTGCTAATCAGGACTTTCTCACAGCCCTTCAAGGAGACTCTGTGGGCTAATCAGGACATTTTCCCAGCCCTAGAGTAAACAAGCTTGAACTCTATTGACTCAGAATAGACTTCAGAATCAGATTGGGAAACTGAGTCAGTTGTGGGCTCCCACAATTCCTCTCTTTTTATTTAAGATTCCACTGAGTCTCTCTTAGTGCCTGTCTTAGGTTCTTTCCTTACCACACTTGAATCTTACCTGTCTTGGGAGCATGAATTCCATCATTCATGTCCTGTCTTAGGTTGAAAGGAGGCAAAGAAAACTTACCCGTCTTTGGCTACCAGCCTCTGGTGTCAAGTCAGAGGACTGTGTGGAGTTTTATTGAATGGAATTCTGAACCCATTCTCCATAACAAGTTCAAAATCAGCTTGAGAATCATAGGCAAACAGATTATGCCTACTAAGACACATGCTCCACCAACTACAGCACTACTTAAGAGCGAAGTAAATGATGACCATGATGGGATCGCCCTTTTGACTTGTTCTGGAATATCTTCAGCTGTTTTAACTGCATCAAAATCCAATTTAGCCTTTTTTCATTTCTATAATCTCTTGATGTTATATATTGGATTATAATCCAAATTTAAGGATTCATTAAAATCATGCCAAATTCCTTTAAGATGTGCCTTGACTCTTTCCCACCCAATAGCACTTTCATTATACGAAGAAGACTAACACAAATCCATTCATAATTAGCATTACATGTCAAATGTACTCTAGTTTTCAGGCTTTGGAGTTCATCTCCCAGAAATTGTACCACATCATACAAAACATTCAATTTATGTTCCATTTTTACATCTATATCTTCTTGAATCTCTAATGTCCTAGAAACATTCATAGACAATTGATTAACAAACCCTGCTGTCTGAATGAATTGAGACAAAGCCACTGAAGCAACAGTAATAGTAGCAAGCATAGTAACAAGAGCTGCAATTCCTGCTATAACTAATCCAGCAACATGATTTTACCTGCTTAAAGCTTTCTTCATTTCTTCAATCACTTATCATCAAACCATGGATCATACACATATACTGGCAGTATATTACAAAAGAAGGTTGTTTTAACATTATTACACAAGTATGATTGTCCATTTGAGAAATAAAATTGGTCAAAATGCAATTATGATATGATACATTAAACATAGAACTATTCATAGAAATATTTGCTTAATGCTTCTGTGGGTCTAGGATCTACACCCTCATCCATAAAGCCTGAATCCTCTTCATTTTCCCCCTTCCCTTGCATGCTATATTGAATTCTAAGCTGGGACCCTGGTCTTGGCCACCACTATCATTTACCTAAACTTGTCAAGCTTTTCTTAATGCATCTTGATCATTGGGACAAAGGTTTGACCTCTTGGCTTGGCAGAGAAGGTCTACATACCCCAATAGTTAACTCCACTTAATCACATCCTGAATTTTCAGTTTTTACAATGTCTGTGGCCTCTCTTGGAGGAGATGCTGCCCTTCTCTGTCTCTGTCTCTGTCTCTGTCTCTGTCTCTGTCTGTCTCTGTCTCTCTCTATGTCTCTCTGTCTCTCTCTCTGTCTCTCTCTCATTGTTGTTGTTTTTGTTGTGTTTCTCTGTGTAGCTCTGGCTATTCTGGAACTCACTCTGTAGACCAGGCTGGCCTCAAACTCACAGAGATCCCCCTGCCTCTGTCTCCTGAGTGCTGGGATTAAAGGCGTGCACCACCACCACCACCAGATCATCCTCCCCTCTTCTTGGCCACTCTGCTTACTTCTCTTTTAAGTTCTAGTTGATATGCTAACACCTTGGTTGAGCCTTCCAGGCCATCTTTAAGCTGGGGTAGAGTGACCTAATATGGTATTAATATAGTTCAATCCCTTCTCCCTGGAGAAGGACATGCCAGCACAGCTATGGTTCTTACAACCTCTCCTAAGAAAGGCAGGGCTTCACAACCTGCCCTTCTCCATCTCACCAAGTGACCACAATGAGAAAGTGGCCAAACTTAGAGTCAGTTCTGCCTAGGCTTGTTCTGGCTGGCTACACTAGGCCAAGGGCATTCTCTGGAGACCTGTGTGCTTTTTGAACTTGAGTTTCTGGCTCTTGGGTGAATTAGAATGCTTATTCCCACATGAGCTAGGAATACCTCCCTGGGGCTCTGCGCTTTGAACTGTCTTGTAAAAGGAATCAAGAGGTCCCACAGACTGACCTTGAGGGTTTTCTAAGTCAACCCATATCACCACACTCTGGAAGCTTCCACTGACTGATCACTTCCACCTACTCTGTCATCCCACATCAAGTAGTTAGGGAAGGTCCCCAAGAGACCACCAGTCCCCATGTGTATTTCCAGCTAACTGCAGTGAGCCCTAGGGAAAAGGAGGTCAGGATGACACACTTGTTTTACTGAGCACGCATCTGTAATGTGGGAATGTTTTTACAAGCATGTATGGCTCCTGTAATTAAAGATGCAAATCCAATAAAAGCTCCAGCCCTTAGGTCATGGGTTCAGAGGACAGAGGATGACAAGAAAAACTTGGTAGGTGAGACAGCGCTGAAGCTGGGCCTGGTCAGGTGGGACAATTGATGCCAACAGTAACAAGAGTGCAATTGGATGTGACAAAAGAGAAATCCAGGGCTCTGGGTGAATATGGGAGATCTTGTGTGTGTGGGGGAGGACAATAAACAAACAAACAAAAGTTAATGCCTGGCTCAGTCAACACAAGCTCAGAGTCCAGCCCTGGAGTGCACATAACAAACCAGGAGTGGTTGTGTGCACTTGTAATCCCAGAAGTGGGAAGGCAGAGATAGGTGGATATCTAAAGCTGGTGGCCAGTCAGCCTAATGGAATTGGAAATTCCAGATAAAAATGAGAGACACTATCTCAAAAAACAAGGAAAAGGGTGGAGAGTGACTGAAGAAGCTACTCGTGGTTGACCTCTGTTCTCCATATGCATTTGTGCACACACTCATGCACACACACACACACACACACACACACACACACACACACACACACACACCACGATGGGCACACACTGGGCTGCAGAAAGAGAATATGGGGTACTGGTGAGGTTCATAGGACAGCAGGTAAGGCCTTCAATTTGTTCCTGATCCAGGGGGATAGAACCTGCCCAGGGCTGCCAAGAAACTGATTGCACGTCCCAGCGAGAAGAACAACAGCCAAAAGAGGTTTTCTAGATGTCCAAGGGTAGCTCTGGTCTCACCTGCCCACCTTGACTCTCAGAGGACCTGGGGCCCTCTGGACCTGATGGAGCCCATGCTTCCTTAATTCTCTAGAATGATTTCTGAGAAGCCCTTCAGGTTGAAGCCATCTGATCGCTTACTAGCATCTCACATTCCTGGGTCTTAGAAGGAAAGCAAGCTTGCACAGCATATAAGGCTAGAGCATGAATGTGGTCCTTTTTGTACTGTAGAACTGGCTGCAGGGGCCAGGTGGGTGTTTAGGTGATGAGGGGGTTTGCATGGCTTCTTAAAGGACCCAGAGATCTTGGGGACTGGATCTGATGACAAGAAATAGGCCACAGTGGCTCATCTAATACACCTTCAAGCTTTGTCTCCTGTACCACTAGAGGTGGCTGTGCAGTTGGGCCTGAGAGTCTGCCTAGGTCCCTTGGGTGACTTCTATGGAGAAGGACTAGAACTCAGGAAAATTCTCCAAGGACAGATTCATCCCACAACCTTTTCAATTTACAGGTTCCTCCACCATCACGGTCAGATACCAAAGATCCAAAGACAACAAGGAGCCCAGCAGATAATGGCAGACCATTTTCAGCTTTGCCCCTCCCTTGACCCTGCTGGGTTGCTCCATGGCAAAAGATCAAGGCCACACTTACCCCCAGGGAACCAGAGACTTCAGAGAGCAAGGAACACAGCAGGTCTGGGATTCCCCTAACCTCTGCCCTGGGGAGTTTGCAGGTGCAGGGATGCACCCTTCCTTAGATGCCTGGTCCTTCCTGCAGGTGTCAGGTCCTCTGGGCTTCCTTCCCTCGCAGCTTCCCCAGTACAGATCCATCTTTTGGGGGGCCTTGCTCTTAACCCATCTCTACATGTTACATTCTCTACTGTTTTCCTTTGTTTATGTGTCTGTGGTGATGATGTCATAGAGTCTTCCTCTATTCTGGGTCCCCAGGATATGGGATGTGGCTATTGTCTTTATGATTGAGCAGGTGCTGGATAAACATTGGTGCAACAGAGCTGTAGCTAGCAAAGGCCAGTCTGGGCTCTTCACTTTGCTCTCCTTCCCCATAGCTCAACCGCGACACCCTGCCAGTCCAGTCACCCTACAACCTTCTGTTTTCCTTCTCCACAAGGTTGGAGACTGGACTCAGCCATTGACTGCATCTCTCTCTCTGTCTCTGTCTCTCTCTCTGTCTCTGTCTCTCTCTCTCTCAGTGTCATACAGCTCAGGTTGGTCTCAAGCTTGCTATGTAGCCAAGGATACCTTGGCTTTCTGATACTCCTGAGTGCTGGGATTACAGGCATACACCCCATTCATGTGGAGCTCAGGATAGAACCCAGGACTTAGTGCAATTGAGGCAGGCAAGCCCTCTTCCAACTTAGCTTCAGCTCCACCCTCCATAGCGATCTCTCTTGAAAGGGCAATCTAATGAGAAGTCCACAGAGGTCCTCCAAACCTTGTTGGTGAACATGGGACACTGAGCAAGACAGAGGAGGAAGAGGTTAGAAGAATGTTTGCTGTGGTGATTGACAGCCCAGTGTGTTGGGAAGTGTAAGTTTGACCCAAGCAAGCAGGGGAACACAGGACCTGACATAGATAGCCAGTTGGGAATACAGGACCCAGGACCTCATCTAGCTTGGGCCACCTCCCTCAATCATGGACAAGGAGCGTGGGCACAGTCAGGTAGGTAGAATACCCTACACTACCTTCCATACAATGAGTATCACAGAGTCCTCACTCAGTCCAATGTCTTCACCCCCATCTTCAGTTAGGTTCCCAATGTCCATGTTGCCCATAGCAGGACAACCAGCAGATCCACCAGAATGGCCTCATCAGAGACCCTGCTGTACTTTGGGTGCCAAAACTAAGTTTTCTGTTTGCAGATTTTGCTTTTTTTCTAAGCCAGGGGGTTGCTGTCATTGGCCAGTCAGTGAAGCCAGAACCTGGTCATCCTCCAGCTGTCAGAGAAATAGAGAGCTCATCCTCTGTGTGGCCAGGCTTTGGTGTCTCACACACTTCCTGGTGGAGTCAGGCTGCTAGGGTCCTGGCTGTGGCCTCCAGGAGGTCTCAGGGCAACACTGCTGCTCAACTCTGAGCTTGCCTGCATTTGGTCTCTTTGGTTCATTGATCAGGAATCATATGATCTTTTTCAAAACACAGCTGGTGGAACTGCCCATCTGTGCTTCTGCATTTGGATCCGTTACTCGGCAGCCTGGAATTTATTTAAACCTGCAGTTGTGCGTACACAAGGAAGCTGCTCTCACCAGGCCTCCCGTGATGGGCTTTCATTTGGGGATCTGCTGCATTTTTAGGACCACCCTGGGCTGGGCTTCAAGAACTGGGTCTACTTTGTTTTCATTTAGTGTGTGTGTGTGTGTGTGTGTGTGTGTGTGTGTGTGTACATGCCATAACACCCATTTGGAAGTGTAAGGACAACTGGTAGAAGTCAGTTCTCTCCTTTCACCATGAGGGTCCCAAGGATTAAAATCAGGTCCTCAGGATTGTCAGAATTACCTTTGTCCTCTGAGTCATCTTGCCCTCCCCTGAGTTTGTTTTTCATGCCCATTTGTCTCCTGAGCTTTCTCTTTACATTGAGATTCATGAATTACTAATACGTACTTCTCTAACACACACACACACACACACACACACACACACACACACACACACACACACACACCAGCCAAGAAAGCTCATAAGTTCTTATCCAGGTCAGAAACCCAAGGTCTGTGATGTTCTTTCTGTCCCCTACCCCCTAACCTTTGTAATGTACTCTGGGACAGTGCCAGTGTGGCAGAGGCTGCACTTGTCCTCCAGTGTACAGACTAGCCAAACACAGACTCTCCCAGAATAAATACTAAATTTGCCAGCCTCCTTTGCAGCTATGTGAACAAATTCTGATTAATAAGATACATGTAGAACGTTGTGTCCAACATCTAGAAAGCATCCTTAAGAGAAAAAAAAAAAAACATGTCCTGCCTTCCTTCTTCCTTGTTCACCTTAATTGCAAAGCATTGTCTATGACTGACAGCTGGAATTAGAGCAGCCATCTTGGAACTCTACGCAGAAGCTTCTTTTTGAGGACAGCAAATATGGTTGGCAGTTTCTAAGATGACTCCCGGTGACCCTCGGTTCCTGATATTCTTTCTTATTCCGTTCTCCTCTCCATTCAGTAGGACTGGCCTGTTTAACCAATAACCTGAGCTATCACAGAAAGATAGCCATAGGAAGTAGAGCATGTCACTTCTGTAACAGTATCATAAAAAACATTAATTGTGGTTTGCTTTTTCTCGGATTGTTTGCCCTAGGCCAGCAAAGGCCAGAGGCCATGCTTTAGGTTCACTCAAGTGACTGCGTGGATGAAGGTCACAGGGGACCCAGGCTCCTGCCAACAGCAAAGACCAACTTCTCAGCATGTTGTAGCCCCACTCAAGCCTTCAAATGACCACAGTCCCCATTCTGACTGAAGCTTCTTCACACACACACACACACACACACACACACACACACACACACATACACACACACGTGCCTAAGTCACTTCCGAATCCTGATCCACAGGAAGTGTGAGGTCAGTGATGTTTGGTCTTATTTGGAGCCACTGAAGCGCTCTTTTCTTTTGCAGGCTGGGATGGAAGCAGAGTCGGTGCATGTTAGGCAAATGCTCTGCTACCAAACCACACCCAAGCCCACACCAGAGGCGTTTGGTTTTGAGACAGGACCTCCTGTAGCCCAGGCTGGCCTGGAGCTCACTTCGTAACTGAGAATGACCTTGAGTTCCTGATCCTTCTGACTCTACCTCCCAAGTTCTGGGAATATGAACATGGGCTACTACTGTGTGTGTGTGTGTGTGTGTGTGTGTGTGTGTGTGTGTGTGTGTGTGTGTTTGCATATGATGTGTGTGCATGCATGTGTGTGTGAATTTGGGCACGTGCATGCCGTGGCACTCAAGTGGAGGTGAGAGCACAATCTTGGGTGTCAGTCAGTCCTTGCCTTCCCCCTTGGTTGAGACAGGAGGGTTTTCTGTTCTCCTCTGCACACTCAGCCTAGCCGGTCTGTGAGGTTCTGGGGACAACCTCACAGCTTGCTATAGGAGCACTGGGAGGAGCGCTGAGGTCATGTGTTCATGCTACTGCTTCTGGCAGTATGCAGATTCCCAGAACCTGACTTCCGGTCCTCACGTTTGCACAGCAAGTGTCTGACACACTGAACCCTCTCTCCAGCAGGTTTTTTTTTTTTTTTTTTTGGTTTTTCGAGACAGGGTTTCTCTGTGTAGCTTTGCGCCTTTCCTGGATCTCGCGCTGTAGACCAGGCTGGCCTCGAACTCACAGAGATCCGCCTGCCTCTGCCTCCCGAGTGCTGGGATTAAAGGCGTGCGCCACCACCGCCCGGCAGGTTTTTTTTTTTTTTTTTTAATTACATATATTTATTTACTTATTTTGTGCATGTGTGCTCATGCATGTCCCTACACACATGCCACTCACAGCACATGTCTAGAGGTCAGACTACAACTTTAAGAAATCAGTTCTTCTCTCCATCTACCATGTGGGTCCCAGAGATCAAATACAGGTCATCAGACTTGGTGGCAAGCCATCTCTACCCCCCACCCTTGCCACCACACCCCGGTTTTTAGTGAGAAGTAAACTCCTCTGTCTTCACAGACATTGATTTGTGTTTCTGTCACTCTTTTCCTATTTATATGGGGTGTAAACTTCTAAGAGTTCACACCTGCAAGTACCCTTGACGGGCTGTCTCAGCCATTCTTCTGTCCATCCTTCTGTCCATAGTACGTGGAAGCCTCAGTGTTTCTAAGATGAAGGCCTGTTTAGTTTTTTTTTTTTTTTTTTTTTTTTTTTTTAATGTATTTGCAGCTGCAATTCTAGTGCTTAGGAGGCTGAAGCAGGAGAATGATGAGCTGGAGGCCAGTCTCAACTATATTGTGAGACCCTGTCTCCAAAACACCTGAGGATGTAGTTCAGTTGGTAGAGTGCTTGCCTAGCATGCACAAAGCCCTGGGTTCCATTCCCTAACACTGGATAAAACCAGGCATGGTAGAGTATGCCCGTAATCTCAACACTTGTGAGGCAGAAGGATCAGAGGTTCAAGGTCATCTTCTGATATTATAGTGAGTTCCAGGCCATCCATGAGACCTTGTCTCAAAGCCCAACAAGAGACTATGGAGACAGTCCCGTGGGTAAGAGAAAGCATGAGGACTTGGGTTTGAATCCTCAGCATTCACGAAGAAAGCTGGTCATGGCTGCACTGAAAAGCAGAGATAAACCAGGCGGTGGTGGCTCACACCCCTAATCCCAGCACTCAGGAGGCAGAGGCAGGTGAGTTCGAGGCCAGCCTGGTCTGCAGAGTGCATTTCAGGACAGCCAGGGCTACACAGTGAAACCCTGTCCCGTAAAACAAAAACAAACAAAAAACAGAGACAGATTCTGGGAGACCCTGTCTCAAGACACTGCATCCAATTCTAAAATCTTGTGATTCTTTTTTTTTTTTTTTAAAGGGAAAAATGTACCAAATAGGCAAAACTACATCTTGATATGTTGCTCCAAATTGGCCATGGCAGTCACAGGGGCCTACTACATGTTGTGACATGCTGCCTGAATTCTGGAGAGAGGCTCAGGCCCTGCCCACCGACAGTAACCCTACTGAATGAGCTACTGTGGTGGCAGGATTTCCTCACTGCTCAGTACTGGCCTAGCGGCTGGCAGCCCAGAGCAGGGAACATCCCACAGAGGATCACACAGGAGTGGGAAGACGATTCCACCTGCCCCTCCTCCTCCTGAAAGGCATCCTGCCCTGCGCAGCTTGCAGCTGAACAGGAGAATCACTGCCAAACCGCTGCTTGCGCAACAGCTCACTTCCGAGGAGGTACACCAAATATTTGTTGACTGAGTTGTGTCTTCCTCCCGACTTACACGATGGTCCAGATATGTGCTGGCACCCGTGCTCGGGGGTGGGTCAGCGCCTGGGAACGGCTCCAAACACTTCCTAGTCCTCGGTCTTCCTAAGCAACCTACAAGACAGTATTTATTTTAGTTTCTAAGAATGGAGACTCACTGAGTCACTCGTGGTGCTGCCGTCGTTAATCCCAGCACTTGGGAGGCTGAGGCAGGTGGATCTCTGTGAGTTCTAGGCCAGCCTGGTCTACATAGGGAGATAGGGAGACCTTGTCTCAAAAAAAAGAACACCTTCCCTCTTTCCAGGAATTTCTTCATCAGACAAGCTGACATGCTCTTTGTCTCTGCCATTATTTGATTGTATGCTTGCTCTGGCTTGTTTATATATATTTTTGTTTTTTAAGATTTAATTTGTTTTTATTTTTATGTGTTTTGCCTGTATGTATGTTTGTATGCCACTTGCAGGCCCAGTGCCAAAGGACGTCAGAAGAGGGTGTCAGATGCCCTGGAACTGGAGTTACAGGCTGTTGTGAACGAACGTCCATGTGGGTGATGGACGTTCAATCCGGGTACTCCTGGCCACTGAGGCATCTCTCCAGCCCCTTGTTTTGCTTTTAAATGTAATTTTTAAAAGGGATTTCCATTTTGTTTTTAATTACATGTGTGCATTTGTGTCTGTACCTGGTTCTGTGTACTGTGTGCAGCTACCCAAGGAGTCCAGAAAGGAAGTTGGATCCTCTGGAGATGGAGTCATGGGCAGTTGTGAGCTGCCTAATGTGGGTGCTGAGAACCAAACTCAGGTCCTCTGAAAGGCAGCAAACATTCTTAACTGCTAGACCACATCCCTTGTGTGTGTGTGTGTGTGTGTGTGTGTGTGTGTGAGAGAGAGAGAGAGAGAGAGAGAGAGAGAGAGAGAGAGAGAGAGAGAGAGGGAGAGAGAGAGAGAGAGAAGGTCTCATGTAGCCTAGCTGGCCTCCAACTCTCTATATAGCTAAGGGTGACCTTGAACCTCTGATTTCCCTGCTTCTTGATGTCCATGTCCAGTTTGTGCAGGGCTTCGTACGTGCCAGCCAAGACCTCTATCAGCTGAGCCACATCCCTAGCCCCTCTGCTGTTTTCTTTGTGGGTAGCAACTTGAGACGTTAGCTCTACTCACAGCAGCGAGACCCCCCCCCCCCCAAGAAGCCTCTCTCCACCTCTGTGTGTTGCTGCCCTACCCACATTCGGCATCTGTGGTTATAGGTACTTCAATTATGAAGTCCTCTTGGTCAAAGCAGACAGAAAAAGCAAGAATGTATGGGCCCAGGACTTACCCTTGCTGGCCTCTGCTCTCTGCTGGCATGATGAGGTTCCCCGATGCAATGATCCACTGAGTACAGAGCCTCCATCACTTCCTAGCCCAGGGAATGGTGCAAAATGTGTGGCGAGGGAGAGTCTTAAACTTAAACACTCCTCAAGGGTACTGGAGCCCAGACCACCCTACCCCCCCACCTCCACCCCGCCACCCCCATCATCTGACCACTTCACCGTCTCCTCTAAGGCTTCCAGAGACTCTCAGTTGCTTCCAGGATGCAGTCCAAGCTGCAGGTCCGGCCCTCAGCGTCCTCGCTTCTTTCTCAGTTTGGTCCCAGCTTTGTTTCGGGCACTACCTCCCTCCGCCACTATCTAACTATCCATTCACCCTGGAGTCCAACTCGTGCATTGTCTAAAGGCTGCTTTCCAACTCCTCAGAGCTGCCAGCAATGCCTCCCTCCAACGGCAGCCTGTCTCTCATTAATGGATGCCATCAGGACGGCGTTCCGGAAGATGCTGACGTAGGCAGCACCCAGCTGGTTCCAGCACAGGGCCCCTCCCTGGGGCTCACACTGCCCTGGGACTGCACCTGGACAAATCTCATGCAGATTGATTTCCAGAATGGCTCTCTCCAAGGGAGCAGCTGCAGATCCCTCCCACCTCCCAAGAGCTCTGCTGCAGAGCAGAGGCAGTTGTTTTAGGACACATCACAGCATCTTGCTGCCAAAGTGACAGCTACAATTACGCTTTGGCCGACAGCTGGAGATGAGAGGATGTATGAGCAGCCCAAGCCTCACCAGTGTCCATGAATCAGCAGTTCATGCTGTGTACCCAGCTAGAGGTGGGGTGGGCTCCTCCTGCCCGTCTCTAGATCCTCTGCTGGCTGACTTTGTGTTGCCTACAGAACTCAGGGAGCACCTGGAACCCTCGGGTGAACAGTAGAAGCTGCCCCAGGACCTAGGGGAGCAGAAGAGTGGGTTGTAAACCCCAGACAAAACACAGACCTGAGGGGACAGGCACTTGGTTTCTCTACAAAGCCAAGGATAGACCAAGTGTGTCAGGCAGCCTGACATGGGTGTAAAGGTCAAGTCTCTGCTGAGGCCCCATCATCAAGCCTGATCCTGTGCTATACACTTCCAGCTCACGAATGCATGCACATGTGTGTGTGTGTGTGTGTGTGTGTGTATTTTGTATGTGTATGTGTGTGCATGTGTGCTATGTGTACATGTGTGTCTGTGTATGTGTATATATATTTATTGTGCATGTGTGTGTGTGTATTGTGTATGTGTATGTGTGTGCCTGTGTGTATGTGTATATATATTTAGTGTGTGTGTGTGTGTATGTGTCTGTGAGTCTGTGTGTGTGTGCTTGAATGCACAGAAGCCAAAGGACAGCACTAGGTCCTTGCTCAATCGTCCTCTGGCTTATCCCCTTGAGACTTGTTGTCTCCCTGAACTGGAGGTTGCAGTTTTTCAGCTACACTGCGGCCAGCAAGCCCCATAAATCTCTCTCTCAGGCCTCATAGCACTGGGGTTACAGGCACATGCAGTCACCCCTAGTTTTTCATCTGGGTTCTGGGGACTCAGGCCTAGGTCCTCATGCCTGTGTGGCCAGTGCTCTACCCACTGGGCCACCATCCCACACCACCTGCCTGCTCTTTTCTCTTTACCACAACCCCGTACGGCAGGTTTGGAACTGTTCCCATTGTGCCAGTGAGGAGGAAACCGACAGCATCATGCTAATTTGTTCAGTCTGGCCTTGAACTTGTGATTCCCCTGCCTCAGCTTCCTGAGTAGAATGGATTTTTTTTTTCCTAAAGAAAAGTTAAGGTTCGGCATTGGTGGTGCACGCCTTTAGTCCCAGCACTCAGGAGGAAGAGGCAGGTGGATCTCTGAGCTCAAGGCCAGCCTGGTCTGCAGAGCAAGTTCCAGGACAGCCAGGGCTACACAGGGAAACCCTGTCTCAAAAAACCAAAATAAATAAGCAAGCAAATAAGTAAATAAACAATAAATTTTATATATATAATCAACAAAAACAGAAATAGATAAAAGCATAGCTGTTTGAATCTATTTTTTCTTTCTTTTTCTTTTTCTTTTTTTTTTTTTTTTTTTTTTTTTTTTTTTTTGGTTTTTCAAGACAGGGTTTCTCTGTGTAGCTTTGCGCCTCTGCTGGAACTCACTTGGTAGCCCAGACTGGCCTCGAACTCACAGAGATCCACCTGGCTCTGCCTCCCGAGTGCTGGGATTAAAGGCGTGCGCCACCACCGCCCGGCCTCTTTCTTTTTTTTTTTTTTTTGAGGGTCTCACTGACCAGACCGTCCTCAAACTCACAGAGATCCACCTGCCTCTGCCTCCTGAGTGCTGGCATGGTGGCCCGCTGCCACTGTGCCCGGCTTGACTCGGTTTTTCTTAATGATCTTCAGATTTATCTATTTATTTATTTTATGTGTATGAGTGTTTTGCCTGCATGTGTACACGTGTGTGCCTGTGAGTACCTGGTGCCTGTAGAGGACAGAAGACAGTGTCAGGCCGGGCGGTGGTGGCGCACGGCTTTAATCCCAGCGCTCGGGAGGCAGAGGCAGGCGGATCTCTGTGAGTTCGAGGCCAGCCTGGGCTACAGTGTGAGATCCAGGACAGGCTCCAAAGCTACACAGAGAAACCCTGTCTCGAAAAACCAAAAAAAAAAAAAAGAAGACAGTGTCAGGTGACCTGGAACTGGAGCTGTGGATGGTTGTAGGCTGCCATGTGGGTGCTAGGAATTGAACTCAGAGCCTCTGGAAGAGTAACAAGTGCTCTTAACTGCTGAGCCATCTCTCCAACCCCAGCTTTTCTTTGAAACATGGCCCCATTGTAGCTCAGGCTGTGCTGGAAAGCATGGCACTGCTCTGGCTTCTACCTGCAGAGAGCTGAGTTCCAGGAGTCCAGCTCCGCACCTCGCTCTGGTTTCTGAGTTTGGTTTGTGATTCCTTATCTTTCTTTGGCCCTCTGAACATCGTCTTGGCTGCAGGGAAGGGAGAGTCCTCCAGTGTAACCTCATGTTGGGTGGGAAGAGTGGGAGGGGAGGGGGGCCTCCAGGAAGACACTGACCTGGGAGGGAGAGGTGACCGAGGACAGTAAACAAGCCAGTTCGGGTGACAGGTTCGGTGCTGTGGGATGGTCTGTATGTCAAGTGTGTTGCTGATTAGTCAATAAATAAAATACTGATTGGCCATTGGCTAGGCAGGAAGTGTAGGCGGGACAAGGAGGAGAATAAAGCTGGGAAGTGGAAGGCTGAGTCAGAGAGACACTGCCAGCCGCCATGATGACAAACAGCATGTGAAGATGCCGGTAAGCCACGAGCCATGTGGCAAGGTATAGATTAATGGAAATGGATTAATTTAAGCTATAAGAACAGTTAGCAAGAAGCCTGCCACGGCCATACAGTTTGTAAGCAATATAAGTCTCTGTGTTTACTTGGTCGGGTCTGAGCGGCTGTGGGACTGATGGGTGATAGAGATTTGTCCTGACTGTGGGCCAGGCAGGAAAACTCTACCTACAGTTTGGGGCTGTGGAACTGGAAAACGGTTTGGTACATGTTTGTGTGTTCAGTCTTTACAGGGCTCTACAGGATGCTCTGTAACCTGTGTCACCCGAGGGGACAAAAACCAGGAGCCCTTTCTCTCTATCTCCCCTGCCCTGTTCCTCTGGGATGACCTCTCAATTTAGACCCAGGTTCTAGCCCCAGTGTCTGGAGGAGATGAGCTGAGGTCCCCAGAGCCACCCCAGAACTGCACAGAATCGGCACAGATAGCCTAGGTTGTGGCCGTGTTCTTCTCAGGCCTTCTCCCAGCGGGTGTGAAAGGCCTGCGGGGTTGGAGAAGCCGGAGTGTGTTTGGATTTCAGCTGGCGGCTGCCCATGAATCACCAATTTCATTTTGTGCTCTCAGCCTGCAAAGGCATCATTTCCACCCAGCCTCACATGGAGCTGGCGGCCAGAGCCTCTTAGTGGGGCTATAAATAGCAGATCATCAACTCACCTCTTCTGAGCTCATTGTAGGCTCCATTTACTGTGCGTCTTCCAGCTGCCTGCACGTCACCTGTCACTCAGATTTCCCAGGTGAAGCTTGCCTGGGAGACTCGGGGCACGCTCTAGGTTTGGGAGGCAGGGTTTGGGTTCAGGGTGACAGCAAGGGCAACAGCAGACTTTTGAAGAGCTTGACATTTAAAAACGTCATAATTACAATCTCAGGTCTGTGTGCTCCTCACCAATTAAATGCAGCAGCAAGGGACTGTCATTTCTCTCCAAATCCTGGAAATCAAAGGCAGAGGAGTCACCAAACTTACACCTAGAAAAAGCCACACAGACAGAGAGGAACAAATGGAAGGGTTTATGCTTTCCTGGGGACTTCTCTCCTAGTGCTGAACGACAGAGACATGACTCTGGCTTCTGCCGAGGCATGACATTTCTCAGAATCCTTCCTAGCACTACCGTGCAGGGTACTCCCTATGGGTCAGGCATCATGCCCAGCATCTAATTCGGCATCTCAGGAAATCATCACAAAAGCTGGATGAAGCTAACAGCTTGTAGACTTTGCGTTGTGCAGGGAAGAATCTGCTGTTCGTACAGGTGACTCATTCACTCACAGACAACATTGCAATCCAGCTGTAGAGCCTGAGCTCTGAGCTGCCATCCTCTCTACCTCCTGGGGAAGAGGATTGTGTGTGTCCATCTGTGAGGGACCCCAGAGAGTTTTACACACTCATGACTGCAAGTGGGAATGAGATGCTCACAGATTCATCCAGTCCACCTCGGCATCCTTAATGTCCCACATCATCATTTTCTCCCAAATTTGATTTTGTTCTGTCTTTACATGCAGGAGAGGCTCCAGTCTTCCTATCCAGAGTCACACCCCATGTTTGAGGTGAGATGTTTCCAGATTGCAGATTCCTAGTCTCCTCCAGACCACTTGCAAGATGATCTCAAAACAGCGCCAGGCAGGTGTGGTGGCGCACACCTTTAATCCCAGCACTCATGAGGCAGAGGGAGGTGGATCTCTATGAGTTAGAAGTCAGCCTGGTCTACATGAGAGAGAGGCCATTCTGGTCCACAAAGTAAGTACCTGTCAGCCAAGGTAACATTGTGAGACCCTGTATTAAAAAAAAAAGTGTGTGTGTGTGTGTGTGTGTGTGTGTGTGTGTGTGTGTGTGTGTGTGTGTGTAAGAAAATCTCAAAGGGTAGAAACTAGGATCCAGATCCTTGTGTCTGTGTGTCTCTCTCTTTGTGTGTGTACACTTGTGTTGGTGTAGGGGATGCACTAGTGCGTACAGGTGCACATTCATGTGTGTACCTGTGTTCATGGAGGTGTGTCGTTCTCAGGAAACACCCACATTGTGTTTTTGAGGCAGATGCTCTCACTGGGTTCACTGATGTGGCTAGGTTTGTTGGCCAGGAGTCCCAGGGATCCTCCTGCCTCCACCTTCCCCGCACTTTAGAAGCGTCCACCACCACACCTGGGTACTAGAGCTCAAATTCCCCATGCTTGCTTGGCAAGCAGTTTGCCAGCCGAGGTATCTCCTCAGCTCCAGGGTCTGGATCTTTAAAAGGCCCTGTGAGCTGTCTAGTCAGGAAACCCCTTTATCTAATTGCCCTTCTAAGCCCAGGCTTTCCCATTCGGAACCCTCTGGTCCAGTAGAACTTTCTTGAAGAACAGGCTGTCTTGTCAAATGGCTTGGGTAGCTCCCTGCCGCCCGAAGGTAAACCGAAGCCATTGGCGTGGCATTCCAGGCCCTTCACTCTCTCCTCCAAGTCTCTCCAGCTGGGTTCTGCATGCCAGCATCCTTTCCCTGTAAGAGCACATGGCTCTCCTCTCCCTTCCCAACTTGTCTAGGCTCCAGGCTGCACTGCACAGGTGGCGTACAGTGGAACACGGTGTTCCCTTCTAAAACTCTGAGCCCTTGGTACAAAGAGTAAGGAACCACTGCACAAATACCCTTGTGCTGAGCACTGCATGTAAGCCTATGATGTCATCCCTGGGGAGGCTGAGGCCAGTTTGGCTGACATGTACAGGGAGTTCAAGGTCAGGCTAGCTGTATAGCAAGACCCTGTCAAAAACAGAAAAAAAAAAGTTCTTCCTTAGTCTAGAGTCACGTGATCAAAGGGACTCCCCAGGCAGACAAGGCATGAGAGCAGGAATGAACACAGGAGAGGGGGTGTGTGGAAAGGACTCCACAGTACCTGGGCCTTCTCCACACTCCTACTTCAAAGCCCTTCTCAAGATCCATGCTCCTCCTCTTCTCAGGTGAAAGCCGCTGTTGGGTTTTGTTGCTGTTGTCCAAAATGTCATGTGATTTTCTAATACCATTAGTAACTGGCACCATTACCAGACATCTACCCAGAAGAATGAAAGAGAAACTTTGCTACAGACTTGGCATGTTGGCATTTACGTCCAGCGCTTAGGAGGCAGAAACGGGCAGATCTCTGTGAGTATAAGGACAGCCTGGGGTATGCACATACTGAGACCCTGTTTCAACATGAAAAAAAGAAAAAAGAAAGAAAGAAAGAAAGGAAGGAAGGAAGGAAGGAAGGAAGGAAGGAAGGAAGGAAGAAAGAAAGAAAGAAAGAAAGAAAGAAAGAAAGAAAGAAAGAAAGAAAGAAAGAAAGAAAGAAAGAAAGAAAGAAAAAGAAAAGAGAAAAGCCTTGCTGACTGAAAGCCAGAGTTGCTGCACAGCAGCAGGTCCTGGAAATGATCTCTGTGAAATGAGTGCAAACTGACCCTAAAGAACTTCCGGATAAGAGGCCAAGACTGTGGATGAGCTGATGGAGTCCTCGCAGGCATGAAGCCCAGGTTCCCTCCCCAGCACCTCAGAAACCAGGTGTAGTGGTACAGCTCTATCCTCCTAACACTCTGCAGGTGGACGCAGCACGATAAGGATTTCAAGGTTGTCCTTGGCTACGTAGGAGAGTTTGAGATCATCCTGAGCTATAAAAAAAAAAAAAAACCAAAAACCTGTTTCAGTTAGGTTTCAAACCTGGGACAAATGGCTGAAGTGCCTATTTAACATATCAAAGCAGATGCTGGCCGCCAGGTTCCCCCAGCATCCCTCAGTCCCCCTACCTGTTCCAGGGCCCTCCTGGCTGGAACATCCTGCTCCCTACCCTGAATTCTCCAGCTCTGGGCCTGGACTGCCCTTCTCTATATAACCAGTCATTTTGATTACCTGGTCCTTTTTTTTTTTTTTTCCGTCTGCTCTCTTTTGGGCTTTCTGGCTGCTACACCTGGTTTCCCTCCCCCATATGGCCCAGCTCAGTCTGGCCATGTCCACTCTGGACTCTGTCAGATGTCCCTGCCTCTGGCTATACTCGCCTACATATCTGTGATAAACTCTCTTCCACCATACCTGGGAACAGTCAGGCTCCTTTTCCTCTTCCTTCCTTCCTTCCTTCCTTCCTTCCTTCCTTCCTTCCTTCCTTCCTTCCTTCCTTCCTTTTTTTCTCATTCATCTGTTGCTGAAAACATGGGACCAGTCAAGTCCTTTTCTTTCTTTTTTTGGCAGATGGGGGGATCCCCCCCTTTTTTCTTTTTTCATTCAGTTTCAAAAAAAGAAAGGAACTTTCAATTAAATATAGCAGAAGTGTGCCCTGTGAATCTGACTGTTCTGTCCCCAAACCATACTAAAAAAACAATCCTAGAGGAATCAAAAGAGAACTAAACATGACCTTTGAAAATAGAAAAAGAGCTGGTGGAAAGATGGCAATCCAGTTTTAGATGTCGGAAGGGGACACCGTAGTGACAAGCACAGCATCCAGGAGGGAGCAGAGGCCTGTGGTCTGCAGAGGGGTTTGTGGGGGACTCAGGCCAAGCTGCTGGGGAAAGGGGGAGCAGGGCTGTAAACAGAGGGCTGGTAGAGGTTGGGAAGGCCCAGTGAGAACGGCAGGGGGCTGCTCCCTAGGGAACTTGGATCTGTACATCAGGTGCTGCCCCGTGACGGGGCAGGGGTGGTTGAGAGCAATGGAGGCACTGAAAGCTCACCCTGCATCCCCGTTCGTGCCTCCTCCGGGCTGCAGGACCGAAGAGCCCTTTTCTGTAAAACCAAGGAGGCTCGTGACGTCCCCAATGGAAGAGCAAACTGAAGATCACTGCCCTTGGCCAGAAGGCCCCATCAGACAAGCTCCCCCCAGGAGACTAGCCATCCAGTCGTTCACCACACAGTCCTACAATGTGGCCAGGGCCGGAATCTCCAGACATTTCAGGAATGCCTGAGAGCCAGGGGTGTGCCTGTGTGTGAACAATGGAGGGAACAGAGGAGGAACTCATAACTTCTGGAAGAAAACTTCAAAGTGGTATAAAATCCTCAGAGAGACAATAGGACATCTCAAGGTTCATTATCAAAACAGCAGGGATAAAAAAAAAAGACCTGATTTTCATTGCGAGTTCCAGGACAGCCAGGCCTACACAGGGAGGCCCTACCTCAAAACAGGAAAGACCTAAGAGAAGGGAGAGGAAAGAACACTGGTGGGTGATGTGCTGAGGCCCCCAGAATCCACATGAAGACAGACACACAGTAGTGCATCTCTGTGATCCCAGAACTTTGGCAAGATGGGAAACAGAATCTTCTGGAAGCTCATCCTGGTGTACACAGCAGTGGAGAAGAGATTCTGTCAGACAAGCTGTGGTGAGGACCAGCGTATGAAGCTATCCTCTGACTGAACGTGAGCTTTGGGGCTCACATGCCTGCCCCCCAAATTCAAGGGAAGAAGGAAAGCAGGCACAGAAGGAAAAAAAATGAAGGGGGAGGGTGTCTGGAGGGATGGCTCAGTGGTTAAGAGCACTGGCTGCTCTTCCAGAGGACTTGGGTTCAATTCCCGGCACTCACAGGACAGTTCACAGCCCTCTGTAACCCCAATTCCAGAGAATTTGATGCCCTCGTCTGCTCCACAGGATCCCTCAATGCATGGGGGGTACACAACCTCACACAACCCCCAACACACACACACCTAAAAAGAAAAGATAAATAAATAAATAATTTTTTAAAAAGGAAGGAAAGAAGAGCTGGCCCTGGTGGCACATTCCTGTAATCCCAGCACTCGAGAAGCTGAGACAGGAGGATGACAAAGAGTTCAAGGTCAGGGCTATAAACCAAGACTCTGTCTCAAAAGACGCAAAAAGCAAAACCAAAAGTGAGGCCATCGCTACCTACCAGTAACACCAACACACCTACAGTCTAGAGGAAAATACATGCAGTGTAAAAATACGGAAAAACCACAACCATGATCAAGGAAACAGAGAACTGATTTTGCTGGTGACATAGCTTAGGGGTCTAATGCTCCACTGGCATGCACAAGGCCCTGGGCTCGATCCACAGCATGGCCGGTGACATCGACTTCACCGAAGACGGCAGTGGACAACGTTGGGAGGGCAGCGAAAGGAAACGGATTCTCACAGACTGGGGCTGGGACTGTAGCTCAGTAATTGGGCAGACACAGTCCTTGGATTCAATACCCAACATAAAAATAAGTTCTTTAAAACAGAATAAGTAGGCCAGGCAGTGGTGGCACACGCCTTTAATCCAGCACTCCGGAGGCTACACAGAGAAACCCTGTTTGGAAAAACAAAAACAAACAAACAAAATTTAATTATTAAAATATTAAAACAGGGACTGGAGAGATGGCTCAGTGGTTAAGAGCACTGGCTGCTCTTCCAGAGGTCCTAAATTCAATTCCCAGCAACCACATGGTGGCTCACAACCATACGTAATGAGATCTGGTGCCCTCTTCTGGCCTGTAAGCAGACATACAGGCAAACGTATACAAAATAAATAAATAAATAAATAAATAAATAAATAAATAAATAAACAAACAAACAAACAAACAAACAAACAAACAAACAAACAAATAAATAAAATATTAAAACAGGCCGGGCGGTGGTGGCGCACGCCTTTAATCCCAGCACTCGGGAGGCAGAGGCAGGCGGATCTCTGTGAGTTCGAGGCCAGCCTGGTCTACAGCGCGAGATCCAGGAAAGGCGCAAAGCTACACAGAGAAACCCTGTCTCGAAAAACCAAAAAAAAAAAAAAAAAAAAAAATTAAAACAGAATAAATAGGTAAATAGTCCCATCTCCTATAATGAAAAGAAAATGATCAATGTTTCTTAAGCTGTCAGTCTGACAAAATAGTAGTATAAAAGTGAAGTTTTAAGGTCAGGCATGTGGGTGCACACGTTTGATCCCAGCACTCTGAGGCAGAGGCAGGTGGATCTTTGGAAATCTGAGGCCAGCCTGGTCTATAGACCAGTCAGGGCTACAAAGTGAGATCCCTGTTCTAAAGAAAAGAAAAGTACAGCCAGGTAGTGGTTGGGCAGGTCTTTAATCCCGGGGAGGCAGAGCCAGGCAGATCTCTGAGTGTGAGGCCATCCTGGTCTACAGAGAGAGTTCGAGGACAGCTAGGGATACACAGAGAAATCCTGTCTCAATAAACCAAAAAGAAAAGAAAAGCACCATATTTAGAAAAGAGAGGAAAGCTAAAACTGAGGGAAATAGTTGAAATGGTTGAGTACTGACTTGGGCATCTCTGGGGATCAGAGGTAGTGCCAAGTTGGTGGGACAGGAAACTACTGTCCTACTGTGTGCTTTTAGTGACTGACGTTCGGTGCTCTCTCTCTCTCTCTCTCTCTCTCTCTCTCTCTTTCTCTCTTGTACAACTATTCAATGTTTTCATAAATGATTTTTTTACTTTTTCTCCCCCTACCACACAGTGGTAAAGATTAAACCCAGCCTTGGGTACACTAAGTAAACACTCTGCCACAGAGGTAGCCCAAAATGTCAGTTTTAAAATAAAAATTAATTGAATAGTTGCCTAATGTACACAAAGCCCTGGGGTTAATCCTCATCTCCCGCCCCCTCACCCTAATTAATTTTCTTAGAAAAAAAAAGGGGGGCCTAAAGAGAGTGTTGTGAGTTAATTATCTCTAGTTTGGTGTTCTGCTGCTGACCTTGTCTGTCTGCTTTAGGGCTCTCTCAGGCTGATGGATGGATTAGAATTTGTGTGACTGAGGAGAGCTGGAATGTTCCACATGGAGAGCCAACACTATCTTGGGCCATCTGAAGTCTTCCTAATAGCTGTTTATTGCCCAGATCTGCATCTAACCTAACATCCTTTTGATTATCAAGTGAAAACGTTTGGAATGTCTTCTTACCAAACCGAGCTTCAAGATAGTGTCTGTAGCCAGCAATGGTGTCTTACGCCTGCAGCTCCAGGACTTGAGAGGCTGAGGCAGGATAGTTGGTTGGGGGCCAGCCTGGGCTACAAAGTGAGACCCTGCCTCAAGAAGACAAAACAACACAAAAATGTAGCATCTGCAACCTACAGGAGAGACTTCCCTGCTCTGCTGTGACCTGCACCAGGTCCCTACCAACATATTTGATCAATGCCTCAATACGTGATTTTCTTTTGTTTTGTGACCTAAAAGTTCTTGTGACTGCTTCTGTGGCGGCCCGTGTTATTTAGAGAAACCGGGGTCCTCATTCAGGGCCACAGTCACTCAGTTTTGGCCCAGAGTGAAATCCTTTGGGGGTGAGAACTGTTTTACGTCAACATCCCTGTCTCTGTTTATTTTCTTTCTTTCAAAGACTAAATCTTGACTGGAAAATGAGGTAACGTTGCCAGATAAAATACACTTGGGATATTACTTACACTAAAAAAATTATCACTGCTTATCTGAAATTCAAGTTTAACTGTGCTTCAGCAGCATGCAGACTTCAGTTGAAATGATACAGAGAAATTTATGAAGTGTTCCATATTTTAGGTTAACTGAGCCAAGCATGCTGACACATGCCTTTAATCCCAGCACTTGGGAGGCAGAGGCAGGAGGATCTCTGTGAGGTAGAGAAACCAGCCTGGTCTGCATAGTGAGTTCCAGGACAGCCAGACCTACACCATGAGACTCTGTTTCAAAAAAAGTCAAATTAAATTAAATTTAAATTAACTGAGCCAAGCATGGTGGCGCACGCCTTTAATCCCAGTACTAAGGAGACAGAGGCAGGTGGATTTCTGTGAGTTTGAGGCCAGACTGATTTATGTAATGAGATCCAACACATTTAGGGACAGAGATCCTGTCCCTAAAAGGAAAAAAAGAAGAAGAAAAGAAACTGAAGTGGTTTTCTTTGGGGAGGGGCAGGGGGTGGTGTTAGTGATGGAAACCAACACTAAGAGAAATCTGTTACTGAGTGACGTCCCTACAGCCCATCCTGTAGTCACACTGGCTACATCAGGGGCTATAAATGTAGGGAACGCCTTCACTAGCCCCACAGGTTAGAACTGTGACCAAAAAGACAACAATAAACTGCAAAGTTTCACTCTAGTAAATACTCACAATGTGAGAGATGTGGACAGAAACTGACCACACTTCCTGGTCACGAGTTGATGGTGATTTGGGATTGTGGCCGGAATGTTAGCTCCTACCACAAGAGCCACTGCTGACTTCCCATCAACAAAACATCGGAGTTGGGCATGGGGGCCAGTGCTGGAGCACTTGTCTGACATTGTGTAAGGGGCTGGATCCAGTCTCCAGCATCCTGGGGGTGAAAGTCTGGGGAGACAGACATACCTCTGAATATGTGAAGCCAGATGGCTAGTCAGACGTCAGCAACTTGAAGGTCCTTAGGATGGGCCCTTCCTTGCAATCAGTGACTAACCAACCCGGGGCTCTAAAACAGCAGGACTTGATTGCTGGACAAAACAGGGGCGTGTGAATTGTATCTCAGGTTCTGGGTGGAGATGCGACGTTCTGAACAGTCCAAAAGATTGGAGATCTGAACCTAGCAGGAGGCATACCTTGTCTCCTCCCTTAAGAGTTAAGGCAAATGTGCACAATGTGGAGTTTGCACCCTGTACACACATACACACACACACACACACACACACACACACACACACACACACACACACACTTAATTTAAGAGAGTTAAGGCAAATGGGACTGTCAATCTCCTGGAGAAGAGAATGTTTCCTAGGAAAGTTGTCGATTCTAGCAACTTTAACAAAAATGTAAAGCCTACCTGAATAGAGTTGGTACAATGACTTACCCATTGCCCACCCTCACCCTGAGAATCTGTCTTCTATACTGTGTATCTCACCGGGATTTTTTTCTCCTTAACCTCCCTTTTTTAAAAATAATGCATTTATTTTTATTTTATGTGCCTTGATGTTTTATTTTATGTGCCTTCATGTCTATCTGTTTGAGGGTGTCCAAAACTTATAGACAGTTGTGAGCTGCCATGTGGGTACTGGGAATTGAACCCTGGTCCTCTGGAAGAGCAGCCAGTGCTCTCAACCTCTGAGCCTTCTCTCCAGCTTTCTTTTTTCCAGATCTCACTATGTAGCCTTGGCTAGCCTGAAATTTACTTTGTAGACCAGGCTAACCTTGAATGAAAGATCCATCTGCCTGAAGAGTGCTGGGATTAAAGGAATACATTACCATGCCTAGCTGTCTGAATTATTTGGATGGAAATCTGGACCAGAATGATGAGGGCACAGAGTGAGATCTGGGTAACAAAACCATCTCTAAAATATGTAAATACGTGCCTTGGAAATACATAGATGCAAACGTAGATGCAGTCAGAGAAGCAGCTACAATCTAGATTTTGTTTTTGTTTTTTCAAGGCAGTGTTTCTCTGTGTAATAGTCCTGGCTGTCCTAGAACTTGACTTGTAGACCAGGCTAGCTTCGAACTCACAGAGATCTGCCTGCCTCTGCCTCCTGAGTGCTGGGATTAAATGTGTGTGCTGACATGCCTGCCCTTAAAACTCTGCTTTTATACTGCTATTTTGTTGGACCGATAGCTTAAGAAGCATTGACAATTTTCTTTTCATTATAGGAGATGGGAATATTCACTTATCTATTCTGTTTTAATATTCAATTTTTTTGTTTGTTTTTGTCTTTCAAAACAGCCTTTCTCTGTGTATCCCTGGCTGTCCTGGATCTCACTCTGTAGCCCAGGATGGCCTTGAACTCACAGAGATCTGCTTGCCTCTGCCTCCCGAGTGCTGGGATTAAAGGCGTGCACCACCACCGCCCGGCTTGATATTTTAAAACACAGAAGAGGGCTGAGGTTGTAGCTCAGCTTCCAGTGTGCTTTTCTACATACATGAAACCCTGGGTTCGATACCAGAACCACTCATACTGAACATCGTAGCACACGGGTGTAATCCCTGCACTTAGGTGGTGGAGGCAGGAGGATCAGAAGTTCGAAGTTGGATCAACAAGATGGTTCAGTGGGAAAAGGCATTTGCTGTCCTATGATGTAAGCTCAAGACCTGAGTTCACATGAGAATGAAGGGTGAGAACGGACCCACACAGGTGTCCTCCGACACTTGCACTCCTTGGCATGTATGCCTCCCCACACATCACACACATATACACACACGTGAGACTTTGTCTCAAAGCACACAAAGCAACGAAAACAAACAGGCAGAAGAGCACAACTGTGAAGCATCTTTAGTGTTTATTAAATTAATTTTTTAAAATTGTATGTCTGCCTATATGTATGTATGTTCATGACATGAAGGCCAAATAGGGAGTCAGATCTCCTGGAACTGGAGTTACAGACAGTTGTGAGCTGCCATGTGGGTGCTGGGAACTAAACTCAGGTCTTCTGGAAGAGCAGCCACCTCTCTCCAGCCCCTAGATCTACTTCTAGGATGCATTTATTTCAGAACTGCAGGTTAACACTATTTGAATCTTCCCAGTAATGGGGCAGTAGGGGGGTGGGGAAGTGGGGATTGAGGGTGAGGGGTATGTGTAGTGGGGAGTAGGGGTAAATTCAATGTAGGTGTCATTTTGTATTTTTGGACAGTTCTAATTGTTTATAGTTGTTTAAGTCTCTTTATATTGGTGGGTATGTGGGTTGGTGCTCTCCTGCGATCCCACTGCTTACAGAGACTGAAGCAGGGCATACCCTCTAGTTCAAGGCCAACCCTGGTTACAAAGCATGGGGAATGTAGAATGGAATGTCCTGTCTTTGGCCAACCATGAAGAGGATGGGGCAGGGCTCTGACCCGTCAGTGAGGCTCAGGAGCTCTTCGTTATAGGAATAAAACCCAGTGGGACCCTCCCCTGGTTGCTTGCTGTCAGGGTGTGCTTGCTTGTTGAAGTATAGCCCTGCAGGCTCCTCAAGAAGGAACACACTGTCTTGCTGAAATAGTTTGGATAGTATAGTTCTTTTCTCTGGTTTCAGACTCATTTCTAATAACAATGAGTTCAAGGCCCGCCAGGGCTACATGGGACTTTGCCACAAAATAGAACAAAAGCCAGACAAGGTGGCATACACCAGCATTCAGGAGGCAGAGGCAGGTGTACCTCTGTGAGTTCGAGGCTAGTCTGGTCTACAGAGGAAGCCTTGTCTCTAAAAACCAAACCAAACCAACCAAACAAAAAAAACCAAACAGCCTCAAAACAATAAATAAATTATAAAGATATAGGCTACTCAGGAAGTGGGGATGGTGGGGGGTGGCAGATCATCTACTTAGTATGCAGAAGTCCTTGACTTTGATTTCCACACCATGACCAGGAAGGAAAGGAGAAAGGGAGGAAGGGAGGGAAGAAGAAAGGAAGAGACAAGATCTGGCTTCACAGAGCATGCGCTGGCCCTATGCTTGTCTTGAGGAGTGATGGAGAACGGACAGCTCTTCAAAGCTCCTCTCATTAGGTCCTCTGCCCGATTGTAAGCCAGCTCCGTTTCCCCTCCTCTGAGTACTTCAGTTCATCAGTGCTGTGCTTAAAATAAGGCACTCAGTCTGAAGTTCCCCTGGTACGGCCCGAGGCAAGCAAAACAGTAAGGCAGCTTCACTCCCTCTGATCACCAGGATGAATGAGGAAGCAGTAGCAGCCACCAGCTCGATCTTCTAAGAACACCCTTGTGGGGTTCTGGTGGAGAGAGACTTGTGTAATGCAACAGAAAGACACTTAAGCTTGCATTTGCAAAGGTTGAACCAAATGTCCGACCAATTTGATACTGAAAATGGCATCTTTATTTAGAAAAAAATTTTATTTCATGCGCATTGGTGTTTTGCCTGCACGTATGTCTGTGTGAGGGTGTTGGATCCACTGGAACTGGAGTTACTGACAGTTCTGAGCTGCCTTGTGGGTGCTGGGAATTGAGCCTAGGTCCTCTGAAAGAGCAGCCAGTGCTCTTAACCTCTGAGCCATTTCTCCAGCCCCTGAAAAATAACATCTTATTAGAAAGTAAACAATGCTTTACAGGATGTTGCTGGCAGAGGGTCCTCAAATTTAACCTCAGACCTGTGCTGTAAGGAGCAGACAACCAAGTAAAAACAATCAAACAAATGAGCAGAAAACAGAGAAGAGTTGAAAGTACTGGGGATAGATAAAAGCAAGCTAGCCTCATGTTTCAGTGTTAGAGCCTCTGGGCCACAAAAGAGAAGATAGGCTGAATGGCCCTGGATGGTCAAGAACATGAGACCAGTGACTGTTGTAACTATTCACCAGCTTTAAAGGGAAAGCCACAGTCCATAGCTATGGAAACACTGGCATCAGCTTTTTAAAGTGGGATTTGTCAAAACATAGTAAAAGCTTTGAAAGTGTATACCCTCTCTTAAATCAGAGAGAAACCAAATCAAATTTATCAGGAGGAAAATACTCAGTAGGTATCCATAGAAATGTAGTTGAAACTATGAATCACAGAGGTCTTGATAATGGTGTTAATGATGGCGATGATGATGGTCATGGTGATGGTGATGATGATAATCATGGTAATGGTCATGGTGATGGTGTTGATGATGGCAATGATGATGGCCATGGTGATGGTGATGATGGTGGTCATGGTGATGGTGATGATGGTGGTGATGATGATGGCCATGGTGATGGTGATGATGGTGGTCATGGTGATGGTGATGATGGTGGTCATGATGATGGTGGTGGTGGTGATCCCCATTATTCCTGTTATCATCATCATTATTATCATTATTTGTTTTCTGCAGTACTAGGGGCTGGGCATAGGGCCTAGCTTATGCTTCACTGTTTCCAGCTGCTGGCACTATTTAAAAGATGGAGTCTTATTGAAGGAAGCAGGTCTCTAGAGGTAGACCTTTGAAGGTTTTGTTAGTTTCTAGTTTTGCACTGAGTTTTCTGCTTCTTAATTGGTCAAGATATAAAAAGCTATTACCACTACAAGCTACTACCACCAAGAACCCATGTGTTATGCTTGGCTGTCCCTGACATAATGGACGATCTGTGGCCCTATGGAACCATGAGCCAAAATAAACCATTCTTCCCAAGTTGGTTCTGATCAGTATTTTGAAAATAAGGACAAGAAAATAAATCTATAAAAAGTCCCTTTACGGACAACAAAGGGTGGTCCTTCCTGACTCTTGCAGATCAGAGGGACCCATCTCTCCCTGGGGCATCAGAGCAGGAGTTGGGCCTTGCTAGGACTGCTGCATACAGTTAAATAGGCACTGTTAATGGTAATGATAGGCCTTCATTGTTAGCTCTCTTTTGAATGCCTCTCTCTCTCCCTCCCTCTTCCTCTCCCTCCCTTTCTCTCTCTCTCTTTCACTAAGATGCTTGTGGCCAGGGCAATTTGACTCTCTAATTGACAGTTGTTAGAAGCTTCCCTTCTGCCCAGGCTGCCTTGGGCCCAGGCTTGCTAGCCAAGCAGCCCCTATTTGGCAGCCAGCTGGACAGCCCTCACGCCAGCAGGCTGCTTTGAACACTTCACGGATGTCTTGAGAAAGCTACACTGCGACCACAGCTGCTTGCTGCCAAAGTACAGCTCCAGCTCCAAAAGGCACTGCTCCAGATACTTCTGCTTCAGACAGCTTGCGCCAGATTCTTCGCCACAGCAAGCCTTGGTGAATTCTCAGTTGTTTGTACCCAGGCTAGAGGGTCAATGCTTCCTGTAGGCATAGAAGAAGGCTTGTGATTGGTATAATCATGGTCTTTCATCTGAACGGACTGTGCCGTGATTGGTGCAAATACAGTCTTTCATTTGCATGAAAGATTGTGCCTCACTGCAAACACTTGCCCACCCCCTTCTGGCGGTGTGAGCAGGTTGTTCAGTATACTTTTGAGTGGGCCAAGAGATCCCCTTCTGTGCTGCCCCCTGGTGTTGCAACATTAGGCCCATTAAAAAAAAGAACTCTCTCTTTTTTTTAATAATTTATTTATTTTTATTTTATGTGCATTGGTGTTTTGCCTGTCTGTATGTCTGTGTGAGGGTGTTGGATCTTGGAGTTAAAGACAATTTTTAGATGCCATGTGGGTGCTGGGAATTGAACCTGGGTCCTCTGGAAGAGCACTCAATGCTATTAACCCCTGAGCCATCTCTCCAGCCCCTTCTCTCTCTCTCTCTCTCTTTAAATTGTTTACTTTTTGTTTTGTTTTGTTTTGTTTCTGTTTCTGGCTGTCCTGGAACTAACTATGTAGACCACACTGGCCTTGAACTCATAGAGATCCATCTGCTCTGCCTCATGGGATTAAAGGCATGCATCACCACACCCTGCTTGCTTATTACTTTTTAACTTTAAACAAATGAAATATATATTTACATGCATGTTTGTGTGTATGTGTGTGTTTGTACCATGTATGTTCAGGTATTCTCAGAAACCAGAAGAGAGCACCAGATAACCTGGAACTGAAGTTAAAGGTGGTTGCAAGTGCACCGACCTGGCTGCTGGGAACTGAATCTGGGTCTTCTGAAAGAACAGGAAGTGCCCTTAACCCCTGAGCCATCGCTGTGTCTTCCACCTTGAAAGAATTTATTTATGCCGGGCGGTGGTGGCGCATGCCTTTAGTCCCAGCACTTGGGAGGCAGAGGCAGGCGGATCTCAGTGAGTTTGAGGCCAGCCTGTTCTCCAAAGCGAGTTCCAGGAAAGGCACAAAACTACACAGAGAAACCCTGTCTCGAAAAACCAAAAAAAAAAAAGAGAGAGAGAATTTATTTATGTGCATATGGGTGTGTGTGTTTACACATATTGTGCTGTGTGTGGGGTGTGTGTGTGCCATGTGAGTGCAGATACCTGTGGAGGTCAGAAGAGGGCGTCAGATCCCCTGAAAGTGGACTTACAGATGGTTTAAGTTTGTTTTGTTTATTTCTGAAACAAAACAAAACTTAAAAAAAAAAATTCTGTTTTTTTTTCCCTCCCCAAGGTCATCAGCTACACAGCAGGTTTGAGACCAGCTTGGGTTCCAGAAGATTCCGTCTCAAACCATGGCAGTGGCAACAACAAAAGGGGCAAGGCATGGTGTCTCCTACCTGTGACCCCTGACCTGGGAGGCAGAGACAGTAAGACTGAAGTAAGTTCAAGGCTAGCCTGGTCTACACAGCAAGTTCCAGCTCAGACCCTTTCTCCAAAACAAAACAACAGGAGCTGTGGAAAGACAGCTCGGCATTGGCTGCTCTTGCCAAGGACCCAGGTTCAGCTTCCATCGCCAACATGGTGTCTCAGCACTGCCTGTGACCCATTCCAGGGACCCAGTGCCCTCTGACGGCATCCACAGGCATTAGGCACAGCAGGTAGCACACATACGTGTGTGCAGAAGCAACACTCATACACATAAAAATAAAGATTTAAAAAATATTTATTTAGTTTACATCCCAACTGGTTTCTCCTCTCTCCTCTCTTTCCAGCCCCTCCCCGCACCTTCCCTCTGCCCACCTCCCATTCACTCCTTCATTTCTATTCAGAAAATGGCAGATCTCTCAACAAAACATGGCATATTAAGCTGCAGTGAGACTAAACATCTCCCCTTGTGTTAAGGCTGGACAGGGCAATCCAGTATGAAGAGTAGGGTCCCAAAAGCCATCAAAAGAGTCAGAGACAGCCCCTGTTCCCACTATTAGGAGTCCCACAAAAAGACAAAGCTACATAACTGTCACATATGTGCAGAGGGCCTAGGTCAGTTGTTGGCTTAGTCTCTGTGAGCTCCTATGAGCCTAGGTTTGTTGTAGAATATTATTTTACGACGTGTTATACTCATTTATGCTGTGGAATATTTGTTTAATGATGCAAAGATGTGTTACCTTCTTTTATGGTGCATTTGTTTAACTCTGTAAAGCTGTGTTACTGTGCCTGCCTAAAACACCTGATTGGTCTAATAAAGAGCTCAATGGCCAATAGTTTTGCAGGAGAGGGATAGGCAGGGCTGCCAGGCAGAGAGAATAAATCAAAGAGAGAAGAGAAAAGGAGAAGGAGAGGAGGACTTCAGGGACCAGCTACCTAGCCACACGGCCAGCCCGGAGTAAGAAGGAAAGAAAGGTAAACAGAATAGAGAAAGGTAAAATCTAAGAGGCAAAAGATACATGGGATAATTTAAGAAAAGCTGGCTAGAAACAAGCCAAGCTAAGTCCGGGCATTCATAAGTAAGAGTAAGCCTCCATGTATTTATTTGGGAGGTGGGTGGTGGGCCCCCAAAGAGCAAAGAGTAAAAAAACAAAACAAAACAGGGGGCTGGAGAGATGGCTCAGAGGTTAAGAGCACCGACTGCTCCTCCAGAGGTCCTGAGTTCAAGTCCCAGCAACCACATGGTGGCTCACAACCATCTGTAAGGAGATCTGGCACCCTCTTCTGTATACATAATAAATAAATAAATCTTTAAAACAAAGAAACAAACAAAAAACAAAACAAAAAAAAACACAGGTTAGTTGTTTCTGTGGGTTTTCTTGTGAAGTACTTGATCTCTCTGACTCTTAAATTCTTCCTCGCTCTCTCCAGCAGGATTCCCCAAGCTCAGCCTAATGTTTGTCTGTGAGTCTCTGCATCTGCCTCCATCAGTTGCTAGATGGTGCCTCTCTGATGACAATTGGGCTAGACACCAATCTATTAGTATAGCAGAATATCGTTACGTATCTTTACATTGACATTTTTTCTCCAGTTTTGTTTAGTTCAAAATACAAGTGACAGCTCATGCTGGAGAGGATGTGGAACAAGGGGAACATTCCTTCATTACTGGTGGGAATGCAAACGTGTACAGCCACTTTGGAAATCAATATGGCAGTTTCTCAAAAAATTTGGGAATCAATCTACCTCAAGACCCAGCTATAACACTCTTGGGCATATACCCAAGGGATGTTCAATCATACCACAAGGATGCTTGCTCAACTATGTTCATAGCAGCTTTATTCATAATAGTCAGAACTTGGAAACAACCTAGATGTCCCTCAACCAAAAAATGGATAAAGAAAATGTGGTACATTTACACAATGGAGTATTACTCACCTGTTAAAAACAATGACATCATGAAATTCACAAGCAAATGGATGGAATTAGAAAAAAAACCATCCTGAGTGATGTAACCCACACCCAGAAAGACAGACATGGTATGGACTCACTTATAAGTGAATATTAGCTGTAAAGTAATGGATAACCATGCTACAGTCCACAGCCCCAGAGAAGAGAAAGACAAAGGAAAAGGGGCTGCATTTCGGGGTCAAGATTGAAACCTGGTGCAAGGGAAACTCCCAGGAATCTACAAGGCTGACCCCAGCTAAGACTCCTAGCAACCTTGAATATGTAGCCTGTACTGTACATCTCCTGTGACCAGGCATGACTTCCACTGGAAGGATTGGGACACCAACCCGGTCATACAACCTTCGACCTGTCTGTCCTGCCTATGAGATGTGCTGGGTTAAGGGTGGCACAGAGATTGTGGAAGTGGCCAGCTAATTAATGGTCCAGCCTGAGACCCATGCCACAAGAGTGAGACCACCCCTGACACTGCCTGGAGCACCAGGACCCAAAAGCTGGATGACCCAGAGACCTGGGATAGAACAAATAGTTTTTATTTTTATTTTTTGGTTTATTTTATTTTATTTTGAGACAGGGTCTCACTATGTAGCTCTGGCTGTCATGTAACTAACTCACTCTGTAGACCAGGCTGGCCTAGAACTCACAGAGATCTGGCTGCCTCTGCCTCCCAAGTACTGGGACTAATAGTGTTTGACACCCACCACATTCAGCAATGAATCTTTAAAAAAAAATTGAAGTAAGGTCTGGAAAGGTGGCTCAGCAGTTAAGAGCACTTGTTCTTATGGAGAACCCAGGTTCAATTCCCAGTACCCACATAACAGCGCAAAACTGCCTCCAACTCCAGTTTCAGGGGATCTGACATTGTCTTCTGCCTTAAGCAAACACACATACACAACAAGATTTTTAAAAATTAAAAAAAACCCTGAAGTCCAAAACTTTGTATTCTGAAGAAGCCTGTGTGTGAAATGCCACCAAATGTCAAAAACAGCAATAAACAGTGTGACCGAGAGAGCAAGATCAGCTTCTAATCTGTCTCCTAGAGCCAGCTCTGGGTTTTCAGGTCTGCAGTCCAAAGAACTGGTGAGAATATTCCAGAAGATAAACTTGGGAGAAAGAGAAAGACAAAACAGAGAAGGAGTAGGAAAAGGGAAAGGGAAAGGGGGACAAAAATAAAACAAAGAAAACCCCCGAGGCTGGTGAAGCCTGAAGTTCAGGGGAACACCACATACCAAGTGTGGCGGAATGTATCTGAATCCCCAGCTCTGGGAAGTAGAAGCAGCAAGACCAAAAGTCCAAGGTCAGCTTTTACTATACAGTGAGTTAGGGGCTAGCCTGGGCTACATAAGACCCTGTCTTAAAATAAAAATTAGCCGGGCGGTGGTGGCGCACACCTTTAATCCCAGCACACGGGAGGCAGAGGCAGGTGGATCTCTGTGAGTTCGAGGCCAGCCTGGTCTACAGAGCAAGATCCAGGAAAAGGCGCAAAGCTACACAGAGAAACCCTGTCTCGAAAAACCAAAAAATAAATAAATAAATAAATAAATAAAAAATAAAAATTAAATTTAAATAAGTAAAGGAAGTAAGAATTTTTTTAAAATTTTGTTTTTGAGACAGGATCTCACTTAAAAACCTCTTTCTGGCATAGAACACCATATGTAGATCAGGCTGGTCTTGAACTCACAGAGATCCATCTGCCTCTATCTCCTGAGTGTTGTGATTAAAAGGATATTTGAATATTAAATTTTCAAGTATAAAGAAGATAAAACCAGCTTGGGGGGTGGGGGTGGCGCATGCCTTTAATCCCAGGACTCAAGAGGCAGGTGGATCTCTGTGAGTTTGAGGCCAGCCTGGTCTACAGAGCTAGTTCTAGGATAGCTAAGGCTACACAAAGAAACCCTAAAAAGTTGAAGATGAAGCTGTGTTTGCTTGGGCAGCATACTTGCTAAAATTAGAATGGATACAGAGATGATTAGCATGCCCCTGTGCAAGGGTGACATGCAAATTTGTGAAGTCTTCCGTATTTTTGATTTGTTACTAAGGATTCTTCTTTCGAAACTGATAATGCTATCTTAAGTGACATGTTAAGCGTACTTTGTTCGTTAATGTAATGGAACTTAAGAAGATCGTGTTAGAAAAAAAGATACATTACTGCTTTTCCTACTTTGATCATTTCCAGTGAGTAAATAGATGTTTTGAATAAAAAAAAAAAAAGACAACGAACCAGATGGTGTAAAAAATAAGTAAGGAATAACGAACAAAGTGGGAATGGGTGTGTCAGTCTAATGGCTCATGAGACTATCAAAATACACTACCTCTGTAGCCAACTCAGGCAGGCAGGTTCTTCTCCTCATGGGGCCTGTGTGCAGTGTTGCAGGCAGCAGCCTCCTCGGGAGTGTGCAGCCTCCTTGGGAGTGTGCAACCTGAACCTTGTTTGGATTGCCCCAGTGGGCCTTTGAGATAGAGTTTTCTGGTGGAAATGCATGTCTCTAAGCTCATGCTGTCCCTACTCTATGCTCCAGACCTGACCCAGTGGCCAGTTTCACACAAGCCAGGTCATCATGTCCATCTGCTTCAAGCTGCAGAATAGGGAACATGTGTTTGAGGCTCTGGAAAAGGTCAGGTTCAAGTTCCCTGGCCACCAGGAGATCCACATCTCAAGAAGCAGGGCTTCACCCAGTTTAATGCATGTAAATGTGAAGACCTGGTTGCTGAGAATCGGCTCATCCCTGATGTCTGTGGGGTCAAATGCATCCCCATTTGTGACCCCCTGGACAAGTGGTGGCCCTGCACTCCTGAGGGCTACCATTGTGCGGAGTTCCACATTCTGCCAATCATGTTTGCTAATAACTCTTACATTCAAAACCAAACAACCAACCATAAAGCCAGACGTAGTGGTTCATGCCTGCAATCCTAGCACTTGGTACGTGGAGGTAGAAGGATCAGTATTTCAAAGCCAGTCTCAGTTACAAGAGGAGTTCAAGGCCACCCTGGGCTACATAAGACCCTACTTTTAAAAAGTGCTTGAGTGCACACACACACACACACACACACACACACACACACACACACACCACAATAGTTACACAGCATTTAGAAAGTTAAGGCAGGAAGGCTGAGATTTCAAGGACACTCTGGGCTGCAGAAAGAGACCGCCATCTCAAAAACCAAGTGAATAAAACAACAGCAAAGAAAACTATATACACACACAGCCTAAATAAATGGAGAGATATATCATTATCATGTTTGTAAACTAGAAGATTCAATATGATAAAATTTTAATTCTCCTCAAATTGATCTATATATTTAACATAATCCCCCAAGAAATATCAACAGTCTGTTTTTCTAGAAGTCAACAAAGAGATGCTAAAATTTATATCAAAAGTCAATATCACGAAGGAGCACACTTAAAATAGCAGCGCTGAGGAGGCTGAGGCAGAAGGATCTTAAGGTTGTGCCTTCTGTTATTAAAAAAGAAACAACAACAACTGACTGTAGTTGTGGATGGTTGTGAGCCGCCATTCAGGGGCTGGGAACCAAACCCAGGTCCTCTAGAAGAGCAGCCTGTGTTCTTAATGGCTGAACCATCTCTCCAGGCCCTGTGTTCTAATTTCTGGACCAACCACTGCAGTATACAATCAAGGAACCAAGAATGTAGCTCAGTGAACCCCAAACAATGTTTTTAAGAGACGGTCTTTCTGTGATAAGGACGACTGCAAACTTTCAGACTCAAGTATTTCTCCTGCCTCGACATACGGAGTAGCTGGGACAAAAGGTGTCTGCCATTGTGCCTGGCACAGTGAATGTTTTCAAAGTCTGGTCCGCTGAATTTAGAATCAGAATTACCTAGAACCTTGACCCTGAATGTCCAAGGGTTTACGTGGGAGTCTGCCACTGCAATAAGCTTGTCAGGGCATGTCACCTGCACTTTGGGAACTCAGCTCTGGTTACTGTTATCCTTAGGTCCCTGATTGCTGGGGAGAAGTTGCTTCTGTCTTTGGGTTCTCATGTTTAGTTCAGATGCTCCCTGCCAGAGTGTGAATACCATGCCTTCCTGAGATGAAATGGATGTATGTCACCCAGCATGGTGCTGGTCTGTCACTACTCTGTCATTGTGAACTACATGGCATTTCTACCTGCTGGGGTCCTAACAGTGAAATAGAAGCTGTAGGAAAAGCAGTTGTAGGCCAGCCTGTGCTGTGTAGTGTAAGATCCTGGGGGAAGGGGGACATCTGCAATAACAAACATTATATAATGAATTCTTACCCTGGGGCCCATTCACCACTTAAGACCTTCATTGGAGCTTGAGATCCTGGATTCTAGGCTTTCCTCTCTACCCAACTTTATATTTTATATATTCACATTTATTTGTTTGTTTGTTTATTCTCTCCCTCCCCCTCCCCCGTGTGTGTGTGTGTGTGTGTGTGTGTGTGTGTGTGTGTGTGGACACCCACGTACCACAGCTTGCATATGGAGGTCAAAGGACAATTTTCAGGAGTTGGTTTTCTCCTTCCATCATGTGGGTTCCAGAGATTAAATTCAGGCACTCTTCAGTTCTCCAACCACCACTTCCATACCTCCAAGACTGGAGCAGTCAGTCCCTTGCTTCTTCAGGCTATGGCAATCTGACTTCTTTTATGATTTGCCAAAGTCCCATTTACTTGGGCAGTTCTTTCACGAACATTCTTTAGAGCGAGGCACGCTGAGCATCAAAGTGCTTGGTAGGTAGGTACTCATTGGATGGATGACTCTGCAGGAAGGCAGGGCATGAACTGATACCACAGCAGATCTATAAAAGAGAGGACATCACTCTCCAGGGAGATCCACAAAACTCAGGGCAAGCCTCAGCTGTGGCTGAGGATAGAGAGGTGCCTTGGGAACACCCCAGGGCAAAAGGGGTACCGCAGAGCCCCAGCGGGCACCCAGCTGCCGACTCGGTACTTGTGGGCCTCAGTTTCCCCAGCAGTTGTCCACACGGTGGACCCAGGATCGGCCCTTGCAGCCCTGGGTCACACTTAGGCCTCCGTGCCCCTCGAGGGCGCTCCAAGTCAGTCCTCCGGAGCAGTCGCGTTCGGCCGCGGCCGCTCTAGCCGCGCGGTGGCGGCGCGGGGCGTGTCGGGAAGGCGGCGGGCTAGTGCCACCTTTGGTGGCGGCGGCGGCGGGAGCTATGGTGGGTGGCGAGGCCGCCGCCTCAGTGGAGGAGCTCGTTTCCGGGGTGCGGCAGGCGGCCGACTTCGCCGAGCAGTTCCGCTCCTACTCGGAGAGCGAGAAGCAATGGAAAGCGCGCATGGAGTTCATCCTGCGCCACCTGCCTGACTACCGAGACCCACCCGACGGCGGCGGCCGCCTGGACCAGCTGCTGTCCCTATCCATGGTCTGGGCCAACCACCTCTTCCTGGGTTGCAGGTGCGGACCCCCCGCCAGGCAGCTGACCCTGTCCCCATCTGCCGACCTTCAGTTTGGCCATACCCTGCCCCACGCTGAACGCGACCCAGCCTCCTACTGCCTTGGCTGATCCCCCTTTCCATTCCCTCGGGGAAGATGGATCTCTTCTCTGAACCCCGCTTTCCTCTGGTGAAGGAGTGGTTGTGATGACTGCCGCAGTTAAATGATGCAGAGTGCAGTGTAGGTGGGCTCGGAGGAGGATGTGTTGCTGTGGTCATTTTTTTATTCCTGTTTATTAGCCCAGAAGATTGCCTTTGCAGAGTGTGTTTGAAGTCATTAGTTCCTGTCACCCACGTGGCTAAAGTGCAGACAGAAACTGAGACTTTCCCCTCCCCCTCTAGGTGAAGACACCTAGCAAGAGGATGTGATATATCGCACCGTTGGTTGGTGGATTTCACCGCTAAGGCAGGATGTAATCTTTTCCTCCTCATTTTCCTCTTTGCTTTCCCTCTTAAGAAAGTAACGATTTCTTCTTGTTCCTGTCCCAAAGCCCCCTAAACCTTTTCGATCACACCAGGAGGGCAAGAGCCTGGCCCTGAGATTCCTGGCAAGGCATTCCCTTTACTCCACCGGGGAAAAGCACCAGGGTTTTTACATTCCCTTATGGTTTTTTATTTCATTTTCATTTTTTATTTTTTAACTTTTAAGGCAATCGTCCTTTATAACTGAGGCTGGCCTCCAGTTTTTATGTAGCCAAGGTAATGCTGGAACTCCATATACTGAGATTATGCATGCATCTCCAAGCTCCTATAGGCTTCTAGAGTTTCTTGAAGTTGTGTTAAGATAGGATAACCTGATTTTTGTATCCTCTAGCTGGTCACATGGCCCCTCCAGGACAAACTCCTTGGTTTGCTTTTGGGATTTTGTGCTAGGGATGAAGCCCAGGCCCTTGCAGATATCAAATAAGTACTCTACCACTGAGCTACTTCCAGCCCTGAGGGTACTTGGTTTCAGATCTTGGGATATTTGTTAGGACAAGATGTGGGGAAACTCTGCCAGACACACCCATCATGCACATATGCCCATCCTCCCTTCTGCCTTCTAGGTGCCCTCTAAAATCCTAGTGTACAGGAGCCAAGTTCAGACAAATAACAGAACTGAACAAAGGAATAAATGATGTTGTTTTCATTAGACCAATATTCTGTGTGTTTTAAAAATAACCAAATTTTTGGCCCTCAAATCTTGTCCATGAATATGCACTACCAGATGTATGGTGCTCCTGTTTTGTAATTTTTTTTAAGATTTATTTACTATGTATACAGTGTTCTGCCTGCATGTGTGTGTCTGCAGGTCAGAAGAGGCACCAGATCTCATTATAGATGGTTGTGAGCCACCATGTGGTTGCTGGGAATTGAACTCAGGACCTCTGGAAGAGCAGTCAGTGCTCTTAACCTCTGAGCCATCTCTCCAGCCCTAATTTTATTTATTTATTTACAGCTATTTAAAATTTTATATGTATGGGTGTTTTGTCTATACGTACGTCTGTACCACATGAGTACCTGATGATGGTGGATGCCAGAAGAGGGCATTGGACTCCCTGGGACTGGAGTTGCATATGATTGTGAGCCACCATGTAAATGCTAGGAATCGAAACTGAATCCTCTGGAAAAGCAGTAAGTGCTCTTAACTGCTCCTGTTTTTGTAATTAAAAAAAAAAAAACCAACTTTTTATTTTGTATGTATGGGTATATAACAGATATGTACCCAGTATCCTCAGACTCTAGAAAAGGGCATCAGATCTCTGAGAACCGAAATATAGCTATGTAGGAATTGAACCCAGGTCCTCTGCAAGAGCCTCAAGCGCTCCTAGCTGCTGAGCCATCTCTCCAGTCCCTGTTTTCATAATTCTTCAAACATCTGCTATACATCTGCTTGGCGTTCTTCAAGCTTCGTTCTGCACCCACAGGCAGGGGGAGCCACTTGTTAACCCTGTGCCCAACATGGTAGGTTCCCCTGCCTTAGCAAAGCAGTAACTTGCAGAACTTGATAGTGGTGTGTGTCTGTAGTCCCAGCTACTAAGAAGGCTAATGGGGGAGCCTTGCTTACACCTCAGATGGCATAGTGTGACCTCACAATGATCAAACAGGTCTGTAGTTTAGGAATTGCCTTGACACTTTCTTATTAACCCATGACAGTGTGTCTTCCCAGGGTTTTACCTTACTGCTTTTTATTGTGCAGTTACAATAAAGACCTTCTGGACAAGGTGATGGAAATGGCTGATGGGATTGAAGTGGAAGACCTGCCACAGTTTACAACCAGAAGTGAATTAATGAAAAAGGTAATGAGGAGAGATGACAGCCCCCTTTGACACTGGATCATGTTGTTTTTGAGCATTCTTGTTTCCTGCTCCACAGCCTTAAGCCTTTTTCATTATTGCCTCACAGTTGGTATAAACCTTTTCATAACTAGATAACAACTCAGCGTGATAAATTATGCATTGTCAGTGGAGTAACACACAGGCTCAGCCTCTGGTTTGTCTAGAACACATTTCTCTTGGTGTCAGGGATTGGACTCAGGTCCTTTATCTAGATAAACTGGGACTCAGTTAGGAGGATCCTCAAAAAACGATAGGCACTTTCCAGCTGTACTGCTCCTGACAGACTGAGGGAACGTAGCAGACTTTACACATCCGGGTTTATTGCTTTGCTGTTCACAGTAACCAGCCTCAGTGTCCATCACTAGACGAGTGGATACACACAGTGAAGTTCTGTGCAGCTGTGAAGAAAGATGAAATTGGATGTTCATGGATAGAAATGGAGATCATTTTATGTTGAGCAAAATAAGCTAGAATTCAGAAAGACAAGCATGATGTTTTCCCTCAGAGGTAAAATGTAGGTTTAAGTGCATCTATTACTTTCGTGTTAATGAGAATTGAACCTAGAGCTTTGTGTGTGTGCGAGGCAGGTGCTCCACCCCTGAGCTGTACAGACAGCTTTTCTTTTGACTTTCTCACACAGGGTCTGTCCAGGCTGACCTTGCCCTTTAGCCAGGCAGGCCTGGAGCTTCAATCCTCCTGCCTCTGCCTCCCTCGTGGCCTGGCCGCCAGGAACAGCTAGCTGGCGTATTCATTATTTATTCATTCATTCAGTTCTTTTTGTTTTGGTTTTGGTTTTTTGAGACTGGATCTTGCTCCACAGCCCTGGCTGGCCTGGAACCCAATGTGTACACCAGGCTGTTCTCAAACTTGGTATGATCCTCCTGCCTCGGCCTACCTAGTTCTGGGATTATAGGAATAAGCCCCCAGATTTGGCTTATTTTGCTTTTTTTTATTTTATATTTATTTATTTTATTTATTTGTTTATTTTTTTTGGTTTTTTGAGACAGGGTTTCTCTGTGTAGCTTTGTGCCTTTCCTGGAACTCGCTTTGGAGACGAGGCTGGCCTCGAACTCACAGAGATCCGCCTGCCTCTGCCTCCCGAGTGCTGGGATTAAAGGCGTGCACCACCACCGCCCAGCTTTTTTTTTTATTATTTTTAATCTTGCTTAGAGTGCTAAAGTTAGAAGTCCTTCGTTTTAGACTAATTCATACAGAGTATCTCTGCTTCAGCAGGTCAGGGCTGGACCAGACTAGTGTGGACGGTCTGACTTGCTGATAAGGAATGTGATGGGGTAATGTGATGTCCAGACACCACAGCTATGCTCTCCTCTTCAGGGCTTAGTCTTATGGCTGTGGCCTTGTACACAGTGAGCTTTGCCCTAGAGTCTTATGTCTGGATCATGGATCCCTGGGGCCAGGGAGAGGCAGAAGGAACTTTGGAGGATGGGGCTGTCTATCCCAGTTAAGTACCCCAGGACATTCGTTTTTCTCACATCTGCTTTGGACTCTTCAGGCAGTAGATTGCTGCCTTGTTTCCTAAAGTCCCTTTGGTATCTATCCAGGCCTTTTATATAACATTTCAAATTATTTATTTGGGTAGAGTATAAGATTGACTGCCGAGCATGATTCAGGAGATAGTGTAGCCATCTAGGAACCAAGAGTTCAGGACCTGCCACAATGCCACAGATGTATGTGGCTGCTGACCTGCTCTTCAGCCACCAGGTCTTCAGAGTTCCTTGCATTGAACTTGGTAAAGCCCCACTTGGTGGGGTACAGGTTTTCTGGCAGCTAGTGAACTTGACCTTGATCTTATGCAGTGCTCCCACCACATGTTCCTTGTTCTTAACTTAGTGCAGAGGGACATGATGACCTAGCCAGTGTGAACCCAGGCCACTGTGTCCTGGGGCTTCCCAGAGGCATCTCAAGTATCTGTCTGGAGCCTGGAAGCCCCAACACAGAACAGCAAGTCAGCATCTTGTGGATACGGGTAATGTGGAAAGGGTGGACTCATGCTCACATGTGAAAGCCATGTTTGTACAAACACACTTGACACTTGGACTCCAGGGCTTTGAAGGAGACAGTGTGTGGAATTTTGTCAGTCTTAGGCCTGTGAGATGGTTCAGCAGATAAAGGTGTTTGCTGGCAAGCTTGATGACCTGAGTTCAATACCCAGAACCCACATGGTGGAAGGAGAGAACTGACTCCTGAAAGTTGTCTGCTAACCTCCACGCATGTGCTGTGGCCTGTACACATACATGAGCAC